AGTAGAAAGTAGAAGGAAGAGAAAGTAGAAAGTAGAAGTAGAAGGAAGTAGAAAAAAGCAAAACACATCAAATGAACAACAGTTGTGTTATATAGGCTTTAATAGGCAACAGGCTTTAACAAAAGATATTCAGCTAATAAGCTACAAAACAATAAATGATTTGCGGCCGCAAATGAAGGCGCACGGATTTCCGCAATACTTTTCCGCAATACTTTTCCGCAATACTTTTCCGCAATACTTTTCCGCAATACTTTTCCGCAATACTTTTCCGCAATACTTTTCCGCAATACTTTTCCGCAATACTTTTCCGCAATACTTTTCCGCAATACTTTTCCGCAATACTTTTCCGCAATACTTTTCCGCAATACTTTTCCGCAATACTTTTCCGCAATACTTTTCCGCAATACTTTTCCGCAATACTTTTCCGCAATACTTTTCCGCAATACTTTTCCGCAATACTTTTCCGCAATACAATATTTTTCGGCTGTCAGAGTTAGGTAACTTTTTATTAGACCGTATTAGATCAGAATAGGAACCGTATTGGAACCGTATTAGATCAAAATAGGAATTGTATTAGAACCGTATTGGAACCGTATTGGAACCTGTCAATCAAAAAAAGGAACCGTATTGGAACCTGTCAATCAAAAAAAAGGAACCGTATTGGAACCTTATGGATCAAAAAAAGGAACCGTATTGGAACCTGTCAATAAAAAAAAGGAACCGTATTGGAACCGCCACAAGCCACACACCACACGCTTAAAGCTCAAAGCTTTTGTACTTTTTTTTTACTTTGAGCTTTAAACTGGTAAACGCACTCTCTAGCGCACTGTTTTCTTTATTTCTTTATCTCTGAAGAAAGTGTGCTTTTTAGGAGTACTTTTTTCAACTCCTTTATGATATTGTTCTTTTGGTGTGGGCAAAATTTTGTCGGGAAAAAAATCGATAGACAGCCGCTTTTCAATGGTCTTTTCATTCTTTTTCCCCCAAAATTCCCCCTTTTCTCTCTAAACGCTCATTTTTCGTTAAATTTTCTCTATTTTCTCGGTCCCAGTCAGCCTTTTCCCCATTTTTTTACGAAAAATTCTTTCCATTTCTTCATTTCTTTGCCCTTTGGCATTATTTTCTTTTTCCGGTTGTTGCTATGTAACAAAAATAGGCTAAAATAGCATGTGCTATTATGATTTTATAATGTTAAGCCTATTGGGAGTCTATCAAAAGCGCTTCGCCAAAAAAAGGTGCGCTTAAAAGAGCGTCAAGCCATATCATTTAAAATTCAATCACTAACTGCAAAAAATTGTAAATAAACATAAAAAAACAGCAAAAAAATAAAGAGAAATGAAACAAATTGAGGCGCAAAAAGCTAGTCGCGCTCTTTTAGCGGCGATCTTTTGATATAGTCCCGATCTATTACTATTCTTAAATCTTAAATCTATCTTGGATCCTAAATTATTAGATTTTTAAATATATATGTCGCAGCCACTAGTGATTCAATCACCATCGGCTAGTCGATGGTGATTGAAAATTTGCGGTGCTTCGAATGTCCCGAAGATTTCCATTAAGTGGTCAACAACCTCAAATGCGGTTTTCGACTTCAATGCTCGAAGAACACAAAACTTTGTCAGATGATCCTGATAAACCATTACAAATTTGAAATCCTCATCTGGTACTGATTGCAAATCGATCAGATCCACTTGGGCCCGCTCGTTTTGTTGTTTGGTGATGATTGGCTTGACAACGACTCCTTTTTTCGGCGTGCCTTTCTTCAATTCACAGTGATTCAATCACTAGCGGCTGAAAATCACGAGCGGCTGCGACATATATATAAGTAACGGCAAAGGAAAAAGGGGCGGGGCTTAGATTGCGTGAAAAACGCGAATATTAGTGAGCGTTTGCCGTAATTACGAAGCGTCGGGTTTACCGTAATTACCAAGCGTCGGGTTTACCGTAATTACGAAGCGTCGCGTTTGCGCCCAGACATACGTCGCTTTTACTTTATATAAAGTAGATATAGAAAGAAAATTTAAACATAGAATAGATACCGTAAATACTGTAATAGTCCCCCACCCCCATAATGACGGTGCGGAGTGTTGCGTAGTCTAGCTTTGAACGCGTTTTTCTCGACACTGGTTTATGCTACAATTCAGCTATTCAGCAAACGAGTGGGCCCAAGTGGATCTGATCGATTTGCAATCAGTACCAGATAAGGATTTCAAATTTTTAATGGTATATCAGGATCATATAGCTGAAATTCAGCTATTTTTTTGATACCTAAGCGCGCATTGTAGCATAAACCAGTGTCGAGGAAAACTCGTTCAAAGCTAGACTACACAACACTCCGCACCGCGACTTACTCCACTGCAAACACTTCTAACTTACTCCTAACTACTTGGCTATTCCATCTAAATCCTACCCAGTGCATAGAAAAGTTTAGCGTTCAATAAGCTGAATACATTGCTTGGGTTTTTGCAGCTTTACAGGGTTTCCTACAATATCCCGTTATCTGAATGTCTTTAACTTTAACTGAATAACTTTAAACTATTATTAAGATTCGATATTCGGCTAAAAGTATCGTTTGCTGTTAAAAACTATAACAATACCGGGTTCATTTTTCGGCTTTTCCCTCCACTTTTCCTTATCTTGACTCTGAATGGAGTAAAAATTTACAATCCATCATTTTTTTTAATCTTTTCACTCATTTAAACTCTTTAAAAATTCATTATTAGTCAATTTTAGATGTTGAAAAAGTTTTTTGAATGTTTTAGAGCAATTTAGAAATTGAGATATTGATTTTTAGATGTATTTGGTGTGTGAAAAAGTAATCCACGTTTTTTATTTTTATCTGATGACCAAATAAGACGCTGTCTTCTCGAAAACCCTCGTTCAACCTCTTCAGAAATAGGCCTTACATTAAATTGTGATGGGTCAACCGTAAGGAAACGCTTGAATGCCATGAATTTTATCAAAAAGTTGGACAAATGAATACCGCATGAACGATAACGCGCGACCACATGTCTCTTTACAGACTCGACAAAAAAATCCAGAGTGTTGGATGGAAGGTTTTACCACATCCACCTTATAGTCCAGACCTTTCTCCATCTGATTATTATTTATTTTTGTCTCCAATACGGTTCCAATACGGTTCCAATATGGTTTCAATACGGTTCCAATACGGTTCCAATATGGTTCCAATATGATTCCAATACGGTTCCAATACGGTTCCAATACGGTTCCAATATGGTTCCAATACGGTTCCAATACGGTTCCAATATGGTTCCAGTATGGTTCCAATACGGTTCCAATACGGTTCCAATCTCTGTCTAACTTTTTGGCCAATAAACGGTTCAATTCCGAAGAAGATGTCAAAACCCCGGTTGATCTTTTCTTCGCCTCTAAGGGCCTCTAAGGATCAAGATTTTTATTATCGTGGAATGTCTTTACTTGTAGAACGTTGGCAAAAGGTTGTTCTTTCGAATGGTGATTACTTCGTTGAATAAAAATTATTTTAACGAAACTTATGGTCTTTTATATTTAAACGTTAAAAACGTGGATTACTTTTTCACACACCTAATAGAATTGAAGATATTGATTTTAAAATTTACACATCTATTTTTGAGTCGTTTCATTTTTTTAAGTCATTTTTTTGAGTCCTTTTTTTAAAATTGAAACTAATAAGAGAAAATTTTGAGTCACCTTTTCAATTTCCTGCTTTTTCAGTTTCCTGCTCAATTTCAACCGTATCGTATTTATTTTTAATATTTCGACCATCTATTTCGACCATTTCGACCCAGTGTACTTTGTGTTTAGTCTTTTAAACGCATTCTTTCTCGCTTACTTGATGCTTTTGTTTCCTTTCTCTCGATATCAGGGTTTTTGCTGTTAGAAAATGACGAATTCAGTACGCTAGAAGGGGTGTGTTTCGATTTAAAAGCACTAGAGCAAAAGCAAAGTACATCTAGAGCAAGTCTAGAAAGTTCACTCCACGTTTAACCCAATCTTTCGTTCCAATCATTTAAGCCAATCTATTAGAGCAGGGGGAAGACGGATTTATCCCCATTGGAGGTCATTCGAATCTTTTTTGTCTTTTTTGGTAACCTTTTTGTTGTCAGGTTATAAATTTGTCTTGTTTAAGGTCACTTTTTTCTCCAAATTTCCAAAGTTTCGATTAAATTTAGCTTTCGGCTTTCAATTGAAAGCCAAAAGATTCAATTGACTATTTTAAATTGCATTTTTAGAGTAAAGCGCTTTCTAAAAAAGTGGAATTGCGAAAGAGGCTCGATTTCTTGCGTTTTCAAGATTATGATAGCTTATTATGATATCTTATGATAGCTATCAAGTTGATGATAGTTTATTATGATAGCTATCAAGTTTATAATAGTTTATTATGATATCTTATGATAGCTATCAAGGTTATAATAGCTTATTCCATTTTTTAAAGAAGTATAGTTGACTTTTACATAGCACGATTTCATTCATGTGCTACTTTTCAAGTTTTCTATTAGATTTCTATTAGATTTCTATTAGATTTCTATTAGATTTCTATTAGATTTCTATTAGATAACTGTTGAAATGTATAGCGAAAAGCTTTCTAATAGCCTTTTTTTTCCTAAAATTTTGATTCACTGTTCACTGTTGACTTTGACCGCTGACAATTTATTCGCCTCCTTTATCTCCCCGATTTACAGCGTCCAATAGCATTTTTTTTGCTGACAGCTGATCAAAATCGTAGATAATGTATCGATTTTTCTGAGAATTCCCCCTGTTTCTTCTCGTTTTTTGTAGGCCGATAAGTGGTTTTCCGTTTTTGAACTCTCCTTTTACGAGTCGCCCCGAAATCAGTGGATTTTCCCCTTCTTCACGCAAATCTTTTACAATTTACCTCAGTTTTACGAGTTTGACTTGGACTTGTTTGAGCTCTTTTACCCTAAAAACATATTTGTAAATATTTTATTGGTTACTGAATTCGTTTTTTCGTGCTTCGTGATAATCTTTGCATTTTTCAGAGAAATCGGTGACCGCCCGCTATATGGCCGATGGCGAGGGTCCAGAAGGAGTGGCCGCCCTGCTAAAAGAGGTCGGTTTTGATTTTGGTTTCGTTTATGATTGGTTTCAAATGGTGACTGTGAAGTCAGATTGTGTATCTTGAAGTTTCTCTGTTCAATTTTGTGTGAAACTTGAAGCAAATGCGTACATTATGCACAAAAAAGATAGAGTTTTTGCAATTTTTGATGATTTTGACTCCATTTTCTACAATTTTTGCATAATTGTTCCATTGTTATTAAAGTTTTACACAAAATTAAAGCTGTTTTCGGCATTGGGGGCACTTGAAAAGGAAAGTAAGCTAAAATTTTCCAATACTACTTCATCTAGCGAAGCTGGATGTTTTTAAACGAAACCATTCGTGAACCTAGTTATGAGCCGGCTAAAGATACTGCTATAGCTATAGATCTTGTCGTAAAAATCGAAATATACCAATGGATCACTCTTTCTTAGAGCTATGATCGGATTATAGCAAAAAAAACAAATTAAATGACATCATCGGCTCAACGAACGATCGTCGGCTCAACGATCGTTGATTTTCGTGCTTTCCCGCCACCCTCCTCATTCTCTTTCAGCACTCATCGTATTTTGTGGTTTATCTTGTTCTCTCTGTTTTCTCAAACCTCCCACCGATTGATAGAGAAGAAAAAGGAGAAGTGAGAAGAGAGACGGTGTACACGAAGAGTGGGAACGAGGCTCGTTTTTCAGTCATTTCCCTTTTTCCCTTCACTGTGCGAGCCATTTCCATTCTCCTCATTCATTCAGCACGTACCTTTTTTGGAACAATCCCCCTCGCCACTTTTTTTGGGGCGTGCGAATAGTGTCCCGCTTTTTCTTTCTATTCCCTGCATATCGATGCCATTTATTGATGGAAAACATTTTATTGAAAATCAGGCCTGTTTCTAATCGATTATGTGCGGGATAATCTTTTGATTGCCTGGAAAACGCGAGCATGGATCAGATAATTGTTATGGGAAAGAAGGTTCGTGTTTTTTTATGAGCCTGATGAGTTAAACTTGTTTGACGTTTGATGAAGTTTGACGAAATTTTGAGTTTTCTTCCAGTTTTCAGCATTTTTACGTTAATTTTCTTATGACTTTGAATTTATTGAAACGCTATTTTGCTTTGGGAGTCCGGCGATTCGCCGTCAATGTCGCGGGATGAGTGTGAGAGGAGGTGCCGATTATTCAAATATTTACCAAATATTTGGCCATGGGTCCCCTCTTGCGTCGATCTTCATCTCTTGCATCTTCTTTATCCACTCTCCCTCGTGTCATTTCTTCGGTGAAACTGAGATTTGAAGCTTTTTTTCCTATCCCAGGGTTGACATCCACCAGCTAATGGGAGCCTCACGACTCATGAAGAAAAACAAAAGAGCTTTTTGCTCATGTCCTTGAGTTTTTCGTTAGAGAGGCTTTTTGTTTGAGAATGATGGTTTTTAGAGTTTAATTGACTGCTTTTAGAGTTTAATTGACAGCTTATGTACCGCTTTAAGCCATTCAACTAGCGTTGACAACTTTACCAGCTGATCAGCTTTTGCTCAACTTTAGTTTGGGCCATAACTTCACTGATCAATTGCTTCCTATATTGCGATTCAACGTTTGTTTTGACCGCTCCGATTTTCCTTAGAACCAGAGCAAGTTTCAGCTGAATCCTCACCCTTTTGCGGCCCATAAATTTTTGCTTTTCTAAAGGGTGAAGAGACGACACACCCCTCCTCACGTTTACGACCTTTTAGTGCCAAATGCTCGTAGATTTTGCGACTCAACAAAATCTGCATATGTAAAACATATAGTCCTTACTATTGAAATCTCTTTTCTGAGAAGATCCTTTGACTTTGCAAGTAATTTGAGCCGAAAAGTCAGATAGGCCATCAATGGACAATGAATGGATCGATTTCTTACTCTACCCACCGATCGTTCTTTACCCTTCACGATTACGTAACCATCTTTCACTTGGTTGATCATTCATTCCAAGAGTTTTTTTGATTGACAGCCTTATAGACAGTTAAAACATCTATTTGCTCTTCTAGACACCATAAAGTTCACTATATTAGTCGATACATGTTCCCATTTGGGTAAATAAACAACCCTTGTTGTTTTCCCGGTGCGGGATTCTAAGCAAAGAAAGATCCAAAACGAGGCCTCTCACTAGAGCCCAAACAAACTCTCCGGAAAAAGAATGGAAAAGGGCCAAAGAAGAGGCTAAAACTAGGGGTATTGCCCATCTCTGCTCCTTTTTTCGTATCTTAGATCTCCAATGAAGTCTTGCTCTCTTTGGTGGAGCTCTCCTCTTCCCAATTTGGTTCTTTTCCCCCTAGGAAAGGCCGCCCATCTGGGCCCTCTTTCTTTTGGTGCTGAATCCAATCTGATGCCTCCTCTATGCCCCCTCTCTAGCTCGTCTTCGCATCTTTCTTCTTTGCTAGGGTTTTTCGATTTTCTCCGAGGTTATACACTAATTCCTCCATTGCATCATTGTCTATACTATTTTTTCACGAATTGCTCACTTTTCAAATGACTGACCCACTATTTATTCGGCTAGATGATTGTGGCACGGATGACGTTTTTGACGAATTGTTCGCGCGTTTGATTCCGGGCAAAGAGATTTGTTGTGGCGGTGAAATGCTGGCCGGATCACTCGAGTCGAACCACTCGACTGCGTCGAATAATTCGGCCGGTGATGGCACCACCCCCTTTGAGGTCCTTTACGAGGCTCATGGTGTGAGTGTTTTGATGGTTTATACTTGGCTTCAATCCTAGAAATATCTGTCAGTCTGTATTCTGTGATGAAAATTTTCTATTTGTCTTGAATTCAAGTATAAAAATTTTATTTTAGAGGACCCGCGACCTGGAGCTTGCCGCAAGAATTGGACAATCGTTGCTTGATCAGAACAAAGAATTGCAGAATCGGTGAGTTTTTTTGTGTTTTATAGTTTTAACAAATTGATACTTTGTCTTTTGTCTCTTTGTCTCAATAAAACAACCATTTGAAATTTAGAAATGAGTTCCTCGAAGAGAGCCTGGCGACCACGAATGACACGGTAGTGCAGCTGAGGCACGAGCTCCAGAAACGAGTTGATCTTCTCCGTGTCTACTCGAATTTTGAGGAAAACGACTTAGACGCTAACAGGTACACATGAAACTTACAATAACAACAATCGTCATTCCTTTAGAAGTTACGGCTCTGAAGAATCCCTGCGAAATCGAGTGGAGCGACTCACCGACGAAAATGAGTACCTCAAATCGGAGGTAGCAAAAACTAATTAGGACAGTTTTCATTTTTGATTTAGCGATCCTCACTGCAACATAGGATTGATCAGAGCGCTGACAAGGAGCGGAAAGTGATTCGAGATCTTAATCGGCAACTGGAAAACGCAAACGATAAGGTAGCGATTTGCGTAAAAATTTAACTCTTTTTTGTTTTGTTTAGTTGAACAAGCTGCAGCTGCAAATTCTCGGAAAGACTGATGAGTGCACGGATTTGGAGAAGAAAGTTAAGCGACTCCTCAACGAGATCACTTACCGAACCCAGAACGAGAAAGAGGTAAAATTTTATTTTTTTATTATGAATTAGCTGATGAAAAATGATAAATCTATAAAATTTCCCCTCATTTTATCGTTTATTTGCATAGGTCATTGAGGCTTAGGAGTGTTATTGACAAACGGTCTTGAGACTAATGCGTAAAGCGATCAACAATTTGTTGAGTGTTTTGCAAAAATGTGAATAACCAAGTAAACTCAAATACATTTTAAATTTAGTTGATCGATGAGAATGTGGATCTGAAGAAATCGTTGGAAGAGGCTTGTCTCTCGCAGGATCTTCTCGCGTCACAGCTCGGTGATCTCCAAGAAAGCTATGCTGAGGTTCATCTTGTCTTGTTTTAGCTTTAAACTTTTTTGTCTAGGTACGATTGCAGTTCAGCGAAACCGAGGAGGAACTCCGCGCACTTCGAGCACTTCAGAACAGGTAATTGACTTAATCTTTGGATTGTAAACCATTGTTTTCTTAAGGTCTATTTCCCGAGACTCGTTGCTTTACGATTCATTGGCCAGCGAGCTTGAGAATTCGGATTCTGGCTTTTCAAGGTAAATAAAAGCTTCATTTAAATGTGAGCTTTGTATATGTAAATTGTCTTGCACCCTTCTGTCGACAACACTTACTTATGTTATGCCTGTTGTGGTTCTAATAGTTCACCCAAGCTCAACCTCATTTTATGTAGCTTTTTCTGTTTTATTTCTTCTTCCTACAGACTTCTCGAAGGGACGGAACCTTGTGGATTCAATCACCGCTACAGCTTGGCGCCGTTACAGCTTGGCGCCGACCACACTCGCTACGTCGAATCCACCTCCGATTTGGGAACAATGGAAACAGCGAGAAGAAGCCGCTCCGAGGAAATTCTTTCGAATCGTTGGGGGTGTGTGCTTGGTTTCGTGTTTTGTCTACTTGGATGCGCTTTGGTGGACTGCTCACTAGCATTTGATTAATTTTGACAAGATTTTGATTTGAATTTTTAGCACTCCATTCATCTCTGCCCGCTCCGATGCTGAAAGCTTGAGGCGAGAACTCGAACGATTGCAGAGACCGACTCTTACGGTGAGATTTAATAAAGTATTGGCTTACAAAGAAATTAGATAAGTTGAATTTTTTTCTCATTTAGGGGGATGACGAGGTGATCGATGTGCCGAACAGAGTGATTGCCGAGGTAGCGATGCATCGAGTGACTATTAACGATCTTCCTCCGGCAACTCCACCACAAACACCAATGTCTCAGGTAGACTTAAAACTTTTCATTTTCAATTATACACATTCTAATTTAGAAAGCACCATCCGAGCACTCAACCCCAACACATGGCCTCCTACAGAATGGTGGCCTCGATTCTTCGAAAGGTAAAGAAGTAAACGGTCCGATCAATGAAGCGGATGGATCTCCGGGCGCCCCCATTGCCCAATCAACTCCTTTTGTGGAAAGCGACTCGAAATCACGGCATGGTTCTGAGCAGGTTTGTTTTGGCTTTTGTGTGGCACTTCATAAATCATACCTTTTAGCTACAGAACTTGAGACGAACCATTGTGACAACATCATGCATTGAGACGCAAACAGAACCCACCGAACATTTCGAAGTCGTTCAAATTACTGCCAAATTGGAGAATGTGGTAACGAAATGGTTTAGTGTCTGTTTTTTTATCTTTTTCTTTTAGGCGGACGCATCTGCTTGCACATCATGTGGTCATGCTGTGGCTGCGCAGGGACAATCGAAAGCACTCACCATTCCCGAAGCTTGTCCTCTTCCTCCACCACTTCCAATGGCTCATACGACTGGGATAATCGCCGAATGTTCGACGTCTTTGGAACAAAGCGCAGAACCTTCTTCTCTAAATGGAACTGCCGCTCAACGACCTCGTTCGCTACGTTTCCTTCAACTGAAGACTGATACGTCATCCGTGATTTTGCCCATATCTGCCCCCGGCACTAGCAAAGATACCGTGGAATCTATTGGTTAGTTTTAAAATCTGTTTTGTCTTAATGCAATAAGATTTTAGGCGGAGTCAGCAAGTCATCGTCTACCGACTCATTGGCCGACTACGTTGGACCAAAGATGGGCGAGCCAGGAATGCCAGGATCGCGAGATCTCGACCATGCCATTCGACAACTCCGAATTCGTCGACAGGTATCACTTTTTCAATGTTCTGTGAAATTCGTCTTGCTTCTTTTGTCTGTTTGGAGTCTGTGTTTAGTCGTCCGGAAATGTCGGTGTTTTTTTTGTTTCTTTACCAGGGTAGGCTTTGCTTTCGTTTCCCGTGATTACCCATCGACACACACTGCGGCTTAATTTTTGCACCCTCACCACCGGCTTTGAATTTTAATTTTGTTTTGGCTGATTATCTCGATGTGATTTGCAGCTGATGGTTCGTACGCTCTACGTGTGGTTGTGTCGAAGAAGTCCGATATCATGGCTTTGCCGCTTTCTGCGTTTCTTCAAGCGATACGTCGAGGAGTCGGTTCGAGTGATGCGGATACTGATGACACGATTCCCGGACACAACACCAACAAACCAACGCCAAGTCGAAAGTGTCTCTCAATCTGAGGTTCTGGTAAGCGATTTCCCTAATTGCTGTTTGTTTTACTATCGGTAGGGCCATCCCCGTTTTTTTCTTTGATTGATGAATGCACTCCAAAATTTGCTCCCTCTATTTTGCATGTTTTCTTTCTTGGATTTAAAAAACAATTTATTAACACTATGTCGACTAAGCAGCCTATTAAACTTTTAGTGTTTTTAGATTAAAAATGAGCTTTAAAATATCTAACTTGCTATAAACGTACTAATTTCTCGTTTTATAGATGGAGGCTGAGTTTGCTCGTTTCCGGGAACGTCACGGTCTGCAACAACAAGCGCTCTTCAACAAGAAAGACAATGTGGGTGAAGTTTTCACAAACATGATCACTTTTTTGAGGTGTAGTAGCTTGCTTTTTGCTTTTTACACTTTTTTTGGAAATGGGGATTGGTGGAGGTACCTTCATAAATGTTTGGGACAATTAAAAAATTCGACGATAACATGACCTGTGGATTTGTTTTATTTAGAATGAGAAGCGCCAACCGCTTGCCGAGTCAAAGGTGCAAATGGTGCCGGCGATCAAGGAGTTGCCGACTTGGAACAACTATGCGGTCGTGCTTGGGCAAGAACATCAACGAGCCGTGCTTCCGTGGAGAGCGGTATCTTGAAATCAAATTATTTGTGGAAATAGAATTGTTTAGGTGAATTCGGTTGGCCTGTCAGCAATTCAAGATCGTCGCGGGCATGGAGTGCTTTCTAGAATCGAGGTAGGTGGTGTTGTTTATGGAGAATTTGTAGACTATTACCCGGAATTTACTGGAGACTATAGTTATTCGTTTATTTTAGCTTCCGTCAACTCCCAACTCTTCCCCGGTACACGCTGCGGTGTCGATGCCTCGAGGAGGGCTCGCTTCGATTCTTCCTTCATTCTCCTCTCTGTCGGCCACATCAGCCACCAGTTCGACGACTTTTGCCTCATTTGATGTGGCCAATTTGGGATCCGGCATCCTCTCTAGAAGATTTTAAGCTTTTTTTGCAAAGTGTTGTACAAGTTTGCATTCCCTTTTATTTGTTGAAATTACTGCTTTTGAACAACACTTTGTTTACCTCTAGTTTGTAGCTTCAAGTGCAAATAGATTTGAGTATTTTTTGTCTCTCTGGTTGTTTAAGCATAGCCTTTATTGAAAACGGCTCAACATTGATAGTCTTTTTTATGGTTTTTGTTTGCTCATTGACGATTTTTAGAGTCAATCCTTGCTGCTACTTACCTTCTTTTTAAGTTTGCTAACCCCGGAAACTAATAACTTATTGTTTTTTTATCGCCAAAGTTTTATCAATCGACTAATTTCTGTTTGATTGTGTACGTATTCTTTGCTGCAGCTCTTTAATCTTAATACAGGTCTTTTTGGAAGATTGCTATTGAGTTGAGAATGTGGTATTGGGCAATTTTTTGCTGACAAACATCTGAAAGATGCACCCAATACCGTTTTTTTGACTTATTTCCCCCCTCCCCCATCTTTGTGTGTAATTGATCTGTAGATTGGTTTTCCTTCTAATAAATGTGCATGTCAAACAATGTCTGCTCAGAGCTTTTTGTCCCTCAATGTTTGTTTTTTGTTGCAAACCTAGGTGGCCTTTTGTTTTACACGATTTCTTGGTTTCATTTTTGTCACGAAGAGCCTTTGAACAAAGATACGGTCAATAAAGTTTTATTTTCTTGAATTTTTGGAAAGTGCAATGGATTTGAAGATGTAGAAAGTCGCGGTACATTATATGAATTATATGAAAGCTCACGTTATATGAATTTATCTCGTGTTTGTAGATGAACTCTCAAATGTCACCGATTACGGTGATTCCGGTGCAAAATGGAGAGGGATCGCAACAAATAGCGTCTTGTCCAGCGTGTAACTGCTTGCCGTGTAAGTTTTGAGATTTGGAGACAATGAGTTCAAATTCGAAACCCTAATTATAGAATTGTAGAAATTGTAGAAGTTGTAGAAGTTGTAGAAAATATTTTTTCGAATTAGACTCGAAAGACGATGCGTTTTGCCGAAGATGCGGCTGCCGATTGAATATGAAATGCCGATATTGTGAGTCGAGGGTGAAGTGAGTGCAAAAAGCGTTTACGCAAAATGATTACCCTCTCTTTTTAGACCATTAGATCGTTTCTGTGCAAGCTGTGGAACGAGGAGAATCGTTTTCTTTGATCGGGTTTGTTGTTGAGCAAAATAAATGAATGAAAATGAAATTTTTTCAGGTTCATCACATTTTTCGTGCTCATGTGCCGCATTTCCTTTTAGGCGGCTTGGTGGTGGCTGGGTTAGCGATGTTTTTCATTCGAAAAAGGTAACACAATCAAATTCTAAATTAAAAAGGCATCATTGACTTTTCGACCCACTTTTTAACGTTGACAAAAATGAAACTTTTTATTTCAGCTTTCAATCAACACCACGAATCATGTTGAGGCGATAAAATCGATTAAAGAAAAGAAAAAAGAAGAAATTCTTGCGTCTAGGATTCGCAAAATAAAAGGATTCGAGAAAAAAGACCCGTAAATGGTTGAAAATGCATTTGAAAATGGAAATTTTTGGATGCAAATTTTTGTTAAACCAATGTCGAATAGCTGCTAATGTCGGTGGATTTTGTGGAGTTTCGAGCCCAATAAATGACACTTTTGATAACGGAAAGAATGAGGATTAGGAGAAGGAAAAGCGCAAGCGAAATCGAGATTCCTTTTGAGGGAGCGCCGCGGAATGGAGAAGTCACCACGTAGACGCAGAGAACTGAAAATTCAAAAGGTTTTTGAGCTGGAGCTTGAGCTTGAGCTTTTGAGCTTGAGCTTGAGCTTTTGAGCTTGAGCTTTTGAGCTGGAGCTTGAGCTTGAGCTTTTGAGCTTGAGCTGGAGCTTGAGCTTTTGAGCTGGAGCTTGAGCTTTTGAGCTGGAGCTTGAGCTTGAGCTTTTGAGCTGGAGCTTTTGAGCCATTACCGTAACCGTTGACCTAACTACTGTATTTGCTCGCTCTAAAGTGTGCCCTGGTTACTGTAATGGCTTTAAAGTAGCCCTGGACTCGCAAGCCTATAGCTGGAAAAGAAAATTGTTTTCTTTGGATCTCTGCCTTCTTTGTTTATCGAGTTGGCGGATGTTAAGCAGCTCTAACGGGTTACGGTAAAACATCTGTGGGTTACGGTAACCGGGGAACACTTTAGAACACTTTAGAAAGCTATGGTATAGCTATGATATAGCTAAAAATTGAATAAACCGACTCACCACCCAAAAACAGTAGCACCGAGGTGAACCAGAAAGCGAAAACGATAACCCGAATGAATGAAGTGTTTTGAAGAAAGCCGAGAGCACTAAAAGGTTTTTGAAAGGTGAGGATTTAGGATTTGCTTTGAAAATAAACGACTTTTCCAGAACGTACGCGTTTAGATCATTTGGCTGTGCTCGGATGAGATTTAGCGTGAAGAAGATTTGAAAAGATGCCGAAAAGAAAGCCGCCAACGAGACGAGACACGCCGACACGTCAAGACAATACGAGATCTCGGTGAGCACCTGGTTTAGAGGGGAAATGGTTGAGAGATCTAGAAAGAGCGCTAGATCTAGCGCTGGATAGAGAGCTGGATACAAATCTGGATACAGATTTTTAGAGATTTACATCTGTAAATGTACCAGAATTACAATTTAGCTGATTCAGCTGATTCAGCGTGCGTTTTTCCCTTAAAACAACAATAGGATTCGAGCAAATGAGAAATGCGATTGCCAATCAAACGCAGAATTAAACGCTGATTCCGATGGTGTTTTCGGTTTTTGTTAAATGGATTTCTAGAAAAAGTTAGACGTGTTTAAAGTTGGGTGAAAATGGAGAAAAGGAAAAAAGGTTCTCTTACTTAATGATACTGATCTCGAGCCTTTATAACGGTTTTCTGAAGGGTTTCCAACATGTCTTTGTGGTGTATTGGATAAGACGCTTGACTACAAAACGATTGCGGCCCTTTTTCTTGCTCGAGTTCGATTCCCTCATCCGGAAAATTTTTTTGATATTTAAAAATCCCTTCCTATATGTTTCTATGTATTTCTATGCATTTCTATGGGTGCCAATGGTTTGCCAGATGGTGAGCGTTTCTGTTTGTACACAGAGAACAGTGGAAAAAGTGAAAACAAAGTTTTTTCTCAAAAAGGAATCGAACTCGAGCCAAAAAATGGATTGCTCGCCTTGTATGCAAGCCTTTTATCCAGTACACCATCGAGCCAGCCCAGCGAGCAGTGAGGAAACTCTTTTAAATTTATAAAGGCTGAACTTTGCGGGAATTTTCCTTCAAATTCTCCCGAGAACTTTAAAACACGTCTAACGTTTGATAGAAAACGATTTGACAGAAACGGAAAGCAGATTCGGAATCAGCGTGCAATTCTGCATCGAGTCGTCTATAGCTTTGCTCATTTGCCCAAATGCTACTAGGGGATTTTCGAATCGAAATCTGTAACCAACCTCTGAAATTGCTGTATATTGTTCTAAAATTCGTCTTTCTATCGGATCCTTTCGTTCGGAGAGAAGAAAAAACTCGAGAGCTAGCTGAAAAAGGGGAAAATTTCGTTATTAGCTTTGATTGCATAGCTGAGATTTCATTTTATAGCTTAGCTTTTTGTTTACGGTTGTCTAGCTCTTGTCTAGTTGTTGTCTAGCTGTTCTCTAGCTGTTCTCTAGCTGTTGTCTAGCTGTTCTCTAGTTCTCTCTAGCTGTTCTCTAGCTGTTCTCTAGTTGTGGCCTGGCTGTGGCCTGGCTGTTGTCTAGCTGTTCTCTAGCTGTTCTCTACTTGTGGCCTGGCTGTGGCCTGGCTGTTGTCTAGCTGTTCTCTAGTTCTCTCTAGCTGTTCTCTAGCTATTCTCTAGTTCTCTCTAGCTGTTCTCTAGCTGTTCTCTAGCTATTCTCTAGTTCTCTCTAGCTGTTCTCTAGTTCTCTCTAGCTGTTCTCTAGTTCTCTCTAGCTGTTCTCTAGTTCTCTCTAGCTGTTCTCTAGCTAAAATCACCATCGTCATCAGTGCCGCAGAGATGGCCATCGCTGAAAGCATCCACAGAGAGTGACGAATCTGGAACACATTTTTTCATGTTTTTCGATGATTTAGAGCTTACCGTATTCCATTGCTGTGTCTGGATTTGAGTCATTTCGATGCTCGCGCTCATTGCTGCTTCGCCGTCAAACGGGCGCCGCTTTAACGAATGAACACTGTACCGTGACTGGACGAGTGGAGAAGTATTGGAACCTGGCTGAAAAAAGGTTTGTAATCCGTTTGGCGTCTGGCGGAGTCGAACCGTGGCAATGTGGATTGTCTGTAGAGAAGCGCGCTCCCAACTGCGCCACGAAGACTATGAGTCGGCCAGAAAACCGAAAAAACTCGCGCATAGTTGCCATGGCTTTTTTGCGACTTGCGGCTTTTTGTCGTTTTTTTTTTCAGCTCGACTCGTTGTCCTCGTGGCGCAGTCGGGAGTAGGCTTGGTTACAGCCTGAACAACGAGTCAAACGAGCCAGGTTCGACCCCCGCTAGTGCCACTTAGTTTTGATTTTTTACTTTCAAAGGCACAATTAGATTTTAAAACTCTTTAAAAAGCTCAGACAGTCTTTTAAATAATAAATCTTTATCTAATTTAAAATGCACTCACCAAACTGTAATCGGAAATGAAACCCGATGATTGGGGAGTTCGACACGGCACCGAGGCGCTCATTGGTAAAACCATTGCATCTGGAAATGAAAGTTAGAATAAGGTAGAAGAAAAATGGGTAAAGAATAATAAAAAAGAAAAGATTGATTAAAGAAATAACGGGAAAAGAAGGCTTAGAGAAAAGTTAGAGAAAAGTTAGAGATGGCAAAGAAATGCTGAAAATAAGAAAGAAGAATTGTCAGCTTTGAGTCAAACTGATATTTTAGTTACGGCTTTCGCTACGTTTTTCTATCGAATCTCGTTGTATCGATCTTTCGAGAAGCTTAAATTTCATTTCATTCCAATCAACAAAAGATCGAACTTTGATAAGGAAAATAGATGAAGAAATGAAGAATGAATGAATCAAGAAAGAAATTAAATCAAGGAAAGCTTGCATCAGTTAACAGTTACAGTTACAGTTACAGTTACAGTTACAGTTACAGTTAACAGTTACAGTTACAGTTAACAGCTACAGTTAACAGTTACAGTTAACAGTTACAGTTAACAGCTACAGTTAACAGTTACAGTTAACAGTTACAGTTACAGTTAACAGTTAACAGTTAACAGTTACAGTTAACAGTTACAGTTACAGTTAACAGTTACAGTTAACAGTTACAGTTAACAGTTACAGTTAACAGATCAATTTCTTTTGATCTGTTAACTGTAAACTGGTAAAAGTAGAAAAATCTCTATCTTTCTCTATTTATGCTTTTAGATTTTTTGTTTGAAAAGATGAAGTCGATTTTGAGAAATGAGAGAAATGAGAAAGAAGTTTTAGGCTTAAAAAGTAAGAGTTTTTAAACTTTTGAACAGTTTTTTGAATAAGAAATTGTTGTAGAAATTGAAAGTATACAAATCTCTGAAAGTTTTTGCATAAGAAGCTGATAAACGAAAGGGAAAGAAGAAAGTGAAAGATGATAAGGATGTGCTGGAATAGAACTGGGTCTCTTGTTAAACCACGAGATGGATAAAGACAATAGGAATGGAAAGAAGGAAAGAAGGGAAAGAAGGGAAAGAAGGGGAAGAAGGGAAAGAAGGAGAAGAAGGGGAAGAAGGAGAAGAAGGGAAAGAAGGGGAAGAAGGGGAAGAAGGGAAAGAAGGAGAAGAAGGGAAAGAAGGGGAAGAAGGGAAAGAAGGGGAAGAGGGAGAAGAAGGAAAGAAAGGGAAGAAGGAAAGAAGGAGAAGAAGGAAAGAAGGGGAAGAAGGAGCAGAAGGAAAGAAGGGAAGAAGAGAAAGCAGAAATGGATAACGGATTCTTTCTTACTTAGGGTACAAGAGAGTGATTGTTTACAACGCATCACTCTTGGAAAGCCGTAAAAGAGCGGTACACGTGCCACGCATTGCTATTAAATGACCATTCAATGGAAAATGATGAAGATCTTTGTGAAAAGAAGAATCGGGAAAGTACAAAGGATTGGAAGAAGAAAGAAGAAAATAAAAGAAAAAAAAGAAGAAGAATATACCTCTGAGGTATGAGTATACCTTGGATTTAGATTCAGGTATTGTCAGCTTTCTAATAATTTCAAACAAAGCTTTTGAAGGAGAAGAAGGAAAGAAGGAGAAGAAGGGAAGAAGGGAAGGAGGGAAGAAGGGGAAGAAGGAAAAGAACGCTTACAAATCTCGATTCTAAACAAAGTTACAGTGATTTATAGCCTGCTTGAGTGAGGTCTGTTCCTCTGGGAAGCTCAATCTCAATTCACAAAAGCTCAATCTCAATCCAAGGTATACCTCTTGAAATTCTCTATTTTTAAAGCAATAGATCAACATGATTCGATAGATTTGAAGAAAGTTAGAAGGATTTTTAGTTTTTTTTTAGTTTACCACTTTATCAATATTGATATTGATATTGATACTTTATTCAGGAAATGAAATAAAGCGTAATCAGTCAGACAATACACAAATCTACACATAAATACATAGAGAAAGATGAGATATTTTACTCGGCGATGTGGAGGAAAAGAAGCGGGGAGGAAAAGAAGATAAATAGAAGATAGGCTTCTTGCTTTAATAACCTCAGGCCATGAATGGGCCAACCCAGTGGAAGAGTGAACTCCGCTAGAGAAGGGATCTCTAGTCAGCTCTAGAGAAGGGATCTCTAGTCAGCTCTAGAGAAGGGATCTCTAGTCAGCTCTAGAGAAGGGATCTCTAGTCAGCTCTAGAGAAGGGATCTCTAGTCAGCTCTAGAGAAGGGATCTCTAGTCAGCTCTAGAGAAGGGATCTCTAGTCAGCTCTAGAGAAGGGATCTCTAGTCAGCTCTAGAGAAGACACCTCTAGTCTGGGCGCACGCACAATATCTACAATTGTTTATTTCTTTTGTGATTCTCTAGATCTTTGGCTTGATAGTTCTTTGAGTAAGCATTCAGAAAGCTATCAGAAAGCTATCGTAATCTTATTTTCATCGAATCTATCCACTTTTCTGTTTCTTTTCGTTTCTGTGGGACTTTTGACAGGAAAACAGAAACATTTCCACAGAAACACTTTGAACACTCATAACTTTGTCCAAAAAGAACATTATTGCTAACTTTTTATATCATTGTATAGAGGGCATTTCAGGCTTTTAAATGACATCAAATCGAGCTTGATTGGATCTTTCATTTCCTTGAAAATCAAACAAAAACCAGGCAAACCAGGCGAGTTGGAGTCAATCTCGCTTGCTCAGAATTGACATTGCTTCTTGCTGGATTGGATTATCAAATCAACCTTTATTTAGTGTCATTTGAAAGCCTGAAATCTCCTCTATACAATGATATAAAGAGCTAACAATAATATTATCTTTGGGAAAAGTTATAGCCTTTGAAGCTTGGCCACTTTTTCAACAAGGATTTTCAAAATCCAAGCATTTGGCTAAGCTTTGATAGCCCATAACTTTGCCTAGAAATAATATTATTCTAAACTTTTAAGATCTTTGGATAGAGGAGATTTCAGGCTCTCGAATGACACTAAATAAAGTCTGATTTGATAATCCAATCCAGCAAAAAGCAATGCCAATTCTGAGCAAGCGAGATTGACTCCAACTTGCCTGGTTTGCCTGGTTTTTGTTTGATTTTCAAGGAAACGAAAGATCCAATCAAGCCCGATTTAATGTCATTTGAAAGCCTGAAATCTCCTCTATACAATGATATAAAAAGTTAGAAATAATATAATTTTTGGACAAAGTTATAGCCTTTCAAAGTTTGGGAAGTAAAATCTGTTTCAAACTGACTGACTGGTTTGAAAATTGAAACAAGAAGCTAATGCCAGAAGGATTTTCATTAAAAACAAAAAGATTCTTGTCTCTAAACGTTTTTTTCGTTAGCAGGTGCGACATTTGGCACCTTTTTCTAGTCAGAAAAAAAGAGGAGACGCAAAAATCTCGGAGTTGAGTGAAGAAAAGAAAAGCTTGATCGACATGTGGCATTTAAAGAAAAGAATCTAAGCAAAGAGGAGAATCTAAGCAATTCATTTTCTTTGAGAAAGCAAAGCAAAGCTAAAATATTGTGAGATTGGGGGAGATTTATTAGTTAAAATTTGGAGAAATCGGCTTTTCTCTAATCGTGGCCGAGTTGAAGACGATTTTCGGCTTTCCAATCTTTCCCAGAAGCTCAGCACTCTAATCATCGTCAAGATCTCATCGTTAGCTACATTTTCCGACCCCACATCGATAGGTTCTGATAAGCGGTTTTCGAGATTTCGAGGAATTTAGGAGGCGTTGCACTACCATTAGAGATCAAGGGGTTTTCTTGCGGCGTTCTCTGTGCAGGTGCACAATCGCGCACTTTCTGGCATAAGGGGTTTACACATAGCAAGCCGAGGGGACTGAAGGGTAAGTCGTGTGTCCATCGGATTTCTTGGCGTCGTCACGCTCAGATTTTTCATCGACATTTTCGGACATCACATATTGGAGGCGGAAAATGATTATCAGAACTTATGGATAGGTTCTGATAAGCGAGATTTCGATGAATTTAGGCGGCGCTCTTGGTGCAATACTATTAGAGTAAATACGTCGCAAAAGTTTCCGGACTCATTTGCAAATAGTATTTAGTTTTTTTGGTCCAACCAGTCATAACATCTTCTTGGTTTGAACCTTCCGTTTCATCTTCATGTCATCTTCCAAAAAGTGAGTCTTATTGATTCTGTAACTACGCATTTTAAGTTTCTTGTACACGATCCTCCAGACAAAATTAGTCCAAGCCTAAGTCCAAGCCTAAGTCCAAGCCTAAGCCTAAGCCTAAGTCCAAGCCTAAGTCCAAGCCTAAGTCCAAGCCTAAGTCCAAGCCTAAGCCTAAGTCCAAGCCTAAGTCCAAGCCTAAGTCCAAGCCTAAGCCTAAGCCTAAGTCCAAGCCTAAGCCTGGGGACCAAATTATCAATTTTGGCTATCTTTGCAGACTGTTGGCCATATTTCTAATCGATTTTTGAAGAACCTTATGCGGCACTGGATCTTGTTTGTGTTTTCCGGATTGACAGCGGTGGGTGAACGGCGACTTCTTGGACGATAATCATTTTGCCAATCTCTTTGTATCGTTTGATTGCATCAAAGACACTGCTCCTCGGATATCCCGTCATTTTGATGATTTCCTTACACGTATTTCCGCTCTTTGTGGAGTCTCTGAATCACTTGATTTTTCAGAGAATGTTCTCTGAACAATGAAGTCTCTGATTTTTATCGATCGACACGATTTCACCTGAAAAAACAACAATTATTCCAACAATTTAATGATTAAAAGATGAAAAAGACTAAATAAACAACAAAGTTATTGAGAAAACAACTTTTCTCACGCACTTTTCTGACACTTTTCTGACAAAAACAATGCAGGAACTTTTGCCAACTCTGTCTGTAAATTTGAAATTTATAGATTTGAAATTTTTAAATTTAAAAATACAAAACAACTTTTCTCACTAAAGATGAAGTTTAGTAACCGAGATTGAACTCTTGATTTTTAAAACGTTATTCAAGACTAGCTAAGCATTGGGTTAAAGTTAAAGAAATGGACAAGAGCCACTAGATTACTCCCTTTACTAGTTTGCTAAATTTTTCGATAAAAATCTGTTTTAAAAGCAAGAAATTTCAATTACAAACGCAAATCGAGACTGGGAAAGGAATGGGAAAGAGATGGGAAAGAAATGTGAAAGAAATGAGAAGCAAAAGCGTACAGAACAATGACCAATATAGATAAGGGTCTCGAAATTTACATACGCACTCGAGAATCGAAAAAGCCGAATGAATTGAATGAAAGGAAAGGAAAGAAAGAAAGGAAGAGAAAAGGAAAGAAAGGAAGAGAAAAGGAAAGAAGAGGATGGATGAGATGAGATGCGATCTCGAGATAAACACAATGTTTACAATAGACACACTGCGCTTTCCCTTTAGTCAGATAATCGTGTCAGAAAATTGTGTTTCGTAAAAACGGGAATCTTTAAGAGAATCTTTGCATAATTGTGAAGATTTACAGTGGATTTACAGTTTACAGTTGTGGGCGGGCGAGTGAAAAACGATCCTAACAAAACATCAACCGATGGAAGCCAAATGATGAGGGATCAATTTAACAAGGTTGTATCGCCGGGAACGATCAGACGACGATTAAAACAAGCTAGATCATATGCAAGAAGGGCTGCCCGTAAACCTCTGATAAATTCCAAGCACCGGAAGCAGCGCCTTGACTTTGCACGGACCTACCGAAGTTGGAAAGAATGGAAAGAGGATTATAAGTATCACTGTGCTATTAAGATTATACAGTGGTCCACAAATGGATTCTCCCATTGCCATCTAAAAGTTTCTCTCGTACGAAAATCTTGCAAAAAAACGATATTCCCAAAAAGTGTAGGGTATTTTGCTGTAGGGCTACGATAACTTGCTTCAATCTTTAAAATGAACAGATTACAATAGTATAGCACTAATAATTGAGGCTAGATACTCAGTGATAGTTTTCTTTTTGCTTCTAAGGCTATTGTAATCGTGTAGAGATGTACTGGATAACCAAAAGTATTAGATCATATTATACTTTAAAAGAGGCAAACTATTGTAACTGTAAAAAAGTACTGAAAAAAAAACAAAAATCTTTGAGAGAAACTTCGACTCTCAAACAAAAAAAGAGAAAAATTGAATTATAAAATGCACGGCAAAATTCCGCCACAAATTTGTCTAGGGTACGGTAGTTTTCGTCGCAAATCAATTTTGAGAGTTTTCATTCATTCTCTTCGCACATTAAGTTCCGCACATTAGGTTTTGTTTGTTTTTTTCGCATTTTGTCGGGTTTTGTCGGATTTTGTCGGATTTTGTCGGATTTTGTCGGATTTTGTCGGGTTTTGTCGGGTTAAGCTATAGTGGTCCACAAATGGATTGTCCCATTGCTATCTAAAAGTTTCTTTCGTACGAAGATCTTGCAAAATAACGATATTCCCAAAAAGTGTAGGGTATTTTGCTTACCCATAATACTCTACTTTTCAATATTATAAGATTTATACGTACGCATTGTAGAAAAATTAAAGTATAAAACAAAAACAATAAATGAATTAACAAATAGCTCCACAAAAGTAATGTCCCATTGATGTTTTCCGTGATTATTCTTTTTATTTTCGCGTTCTATGAACATTAAATGTATTTTATTTTATTATTTAGATGGCTGGCAAGAAAAACTTGGACACTCCGAAGAAGCTCCGAATCGCCAAGGCCCGGGAAAATGGGATCCGGGAAAAGGATGTGGCCAACTTCTTCAATTGCTCGATAAGGACGGTGCGCCGAATTCTTTCTCAATCAAAAGTCGACCGAAACCTTCATCGAGGCCTCAAGAGTGGCCGACGACCAATCACAACCACAAAAGAAGATCGAGCCGTGATCCAAATGGTGAAAAACGATCCTAACAAAACACCAACCGATGGAAGCCAAATGATGAGGGATCAATTTAACAAGGTTGTATCGCCGGGAACGATCAGACGACGATTAAAACAAGCTCGATCATATGCAAGAAGGGCTGCCCGTAAACGTCTGATAAATTCCAAGCACCGGAAGCAGCGCCTTGACTTTGCACGGACCTACCGAAGTTGGAAAGAATGGAAAGAGGATTATAAGTATCACTGTGCTATTAAGATTATACAGTGGTCCACAAATGGATTGTCCCATTGCCATCCAAAAGTTTCTTTCATACGAAAATCTTGCAAAAAAAACGATATTCCCAAAAAGTGTAGGGTATTTTGCTTACCCATAATACTCTACTTTTCAATATTATAAGATTTATCCGTATACATTGCAAAAAATTGAAGTATAAAACAAAAACAATAAGTTACTTAACAAATAGCTCCACAAAAGTAATGTCCCATTTGCAAATAATTAGCAATTTTTTCAATTAGCCTTTTGCTTTTATCGCTTCATTGAGTCGATCCGGCTTGGAATCCACGAGATTTTTCAAAAATTTGGGCGGATGGTGGCCCAAAGACGTTGAATGTGAACCCATAAGGCGGCCTTCGAATCGAATTTCTTTCCCTTCAGGCACGACTTCACAAATGGCCACAAATGTTCAATTGGATCGAGATCCAGTGAGTAGGGAGGTGGATTGATTAACACGATTTACCGCAAACCATCCGGGCAGACGAGCTCTGGTACCATTTTGAAGTGTCACCAACCGTCCCATCATCAGTCTCGACTTGTGTTTCGGGTTGTTGTCCTGGTAAAGCATCCATCCGGGAGGCATCGTTTGATTGGCAAAGGGAATTGTTGATTGTTTGGTTTTTTCGGATTTTGTCGGGTTTTGTCGGGTTTTTTCGGATTTTGTCGGATTTTGTCGGGTTTTGTCGGGTTCAGTCGGGTTTTGTCGGATTTTGTCGGGTTAAGCTATATATTTCGACTTAAGCTCTATATTGTTTTTACGCTTTTTCGCAGTTTTTTTTTTGACATTTATTACTTTAGTAAATCTTTTTCTTTACAGATAAACGAAATGGCGGGTGTTCAGATGTGCAACTGCGTCGCCGGGACGCATAAAATCGATTTTGCGAAGCAACTTCGGACTATGTCAAAAGGAAAGAGTAAGCTTTTAATGATTTTTGTTTTATTTGAATTCTAGCAAAGATATTTATGAAAAAATGTGTTTTAGGCGACTATTTCATGATCTCTATACTGTAAGGAGAGCGGCGGGTGGTTATCATATCATGGTTATCGCATCATGGTTATCATATCATGGTTATCGCATCATGGTTATCATATCATGGTTATCATATCATGGTTATCGCATCATGGTTATCGCATCATGGTTATCGCTTGAAGGAGCCAGATTATTCATGTTCGTGGGTTAATCACAGCACAAATCTTGTTTCGCCTGACGCAACGATTCGCACGCAAACAATTGAACGGTAATCTTTGTCATGTAAATCGCTTAGACAAGTACATAAACTTTGGCTAGAGCTGATCACGGAGTTAAACGTGTGAATCTAAAATAAAATGCATCGGGTAGATTCGAACTTAATCTAATAATAATATCTATTTCTTTTAAAAACTTAATGTTTTTTATTTAGGTCGCCGCATCCTCGGAGGTGTTTTTGGAGACGAGAGTGACTTTGTTGAATGTTAATGGTGTTTCGGCAGCTTCACTTCCTACGACTACAGCAGCAGTGCACCCGAAGATCTCAGTGATGACGACAATTGAATCGTGTACGACAAATCGAAATACCACAAACAAGTCAGTTTATCAGTTAAAATGTTTGTTTAACCTGTTCCTTAAAGTCATGTGCAATTGTCTTAATCACTTAATGCCTTTTATTTAGCTCGCCACATCCTTGGAGGTGTTTTTGGAGACGAGAGTGACTTTGTTGAATGTCAATGGTGTTTCGGCAGCTTCACTACAGCAGCAGCAGGAGTGCATGCGAAGATCTCAGTGATGACGACAATTGAATCGTGTACCACGAATCGAAATACCACAAACAAGTCAGTGCGTAATTTATCAGTTAAAATGTTTGTTTAACGTGTTTAACCTGTTTTACCTGTTCAACCTGTTCCTTAAAGTCATGTGCAAATGTTAAAAGTTAATAAAAATCTGTTTTGAAGCTTTATAAACATATAAATCACAACCAGCTATCACAAAACATTTAGCGACTGTAAAAGGGCGTTGGCTTTTGGGATTGGATCAAGAAATTGTAGCATAAGCGCTTTGCATTTAGGTTTACACGTGAAACGACTGGAATAAATAAAGTTTGGATTATGCAAAGACGATAAAGAGATGCGAATCACGTCATGAATTGACTTTTCTTTTCACACAAAAAGCACCAAGATTTTCTAAAGAAATTCAGAGATATGAAAATGCATGGCTATATTGAAAATGTTAAATTGATAGAATGCTAGATTGATAGAATGCTAGATTGATAGAATGCTAGATTGATAGAATGCTAGATTGATAGAATGCTATATTGATAATGCTATATTGATAAAATGCTAGACTTAGTGGCAATATTAATCTTTGGTTTCGAAGGGCGGGTGGCTAGATTCATTTGAGGTGGCAAGATAATGACTAAATGGTATAAAGGAACAAAGTTGAGCACAACTTATCAAATTTGGTCTAGAAATGATAAGATTAGGGTCTAGATTGTAGCCTAGGTTACAGTCTAGGTTACAGTCTAGGTTACAGCCTAGGTTACAGCCTAGATTACAGCCTAGATTACAGTCTAGATTACAACCTAGATTAATGCCTAGATTACAACCTAGATTACAACCTAGATTACAGCCTAGGTTACAACCTAGATTACAGTCTAGGTTACAACCTAGATTACAGTCTAGGTTACAACCTACAGCCTAGATTACGGCAGCCAATCATCAGCTCTCCAGATGATGGCCGTTGTTTGATCGGTGAGTGAATGATGAGCGATTGGGGGAGCGCTTTCGGAGCCGCAGACACGCTCAGTGGCACTCCGGTACTTGGTGCCGAAAGAGACCAAAACAGCGGGCGCTCGGCTGGAGTTGGGCAATTGTTGGCTGAGGGTTGGCTGAAATTCGATTCAACGGTGATTTGACAAGATATAAATCCTCAAGAAAAGATATTATGATAGCTGGGATCTAAGTCAGACTTGAGCATCAATCATTTAGATATCCAAAGTCGATGCTTGCGCTGAAAACAAACCATTGAACTGCCCGCATAGCCACCCTTGATTCGATCAACCGTCTCCGAGACACGATCACGCATCCAATTCAAGCTTCCTATTGAATCGCTCTAGAAAGATTTTGTAGTCAACAAGAAGAAGTTGGTTAGAAGAAGGAGTTGGTTAGAAGAAGAAGGTGGTTACAAGAAGTTGGTTACAAGAAGAAGTTGAGCTTAACTCACTGTATGAATGCTTGTCCTTCTCCTTGTGACCTCATCATTCCAACGATTGTTCTCGATGATCGTTAATGAGGTGAGTGCACCTTCATAGGGTCGACAAGCGAGCACTGGTTGAAGCTGGAATGGATCTATTGGATTGGTTGGACCTATCGATTGGATTGGACCAAGCTAGCTCGATCGCTTGGACCTATTGGACCTATCCGATCGAATCCCGCTAGCTCCGATGCTATAACCATACTCTCCTCCTAACAATCAAACAAACCGTTTGCGCATTCGCCGCAATCAGTACACCGGCCGTTGTCCCGATGAAGAGTGTCGATGCCGATCCTCGATCCAATAGAGCCATCGAGGTCACTGTTGAGGTGGAGAGTTGAGCGGTGAAACTTGGGGAAACAGAGTCCCATCCAGGCACCACCTAGAATTAATAGCTATTTTTATTAGACTAGTATCTAGATTGATATCTCTAGTTTCAACCCTTTCTTCTTACCTTTCTTATATTGAAAATTGAGACGACCACACGACGAGCGACGTCCCAACAAAACACTCGACAAGCTGAAATTTAGGAATTTAAGGCTTACTTCCTTTAAGGCTTAGGCTCAGGCTTAGGCTTAAGCTCAGGCTAAGGCTTAGGCTCAGGCTAAGGCTCAGGCTAAGGCTCAGGCTAAGGCTAAGGCTCAGGCTCAGGCTAAGGCTTAGGCTCAGGCTAAGGCAAGGCTCAGGCTAAGGCTAAGGCTCAGGCTAAGGCTAAGGCTCAGGCTCAGGCTAAGGCTAGGCTCAGGCTCAGGCTAAGGCTAAGGCTCAGGCTAAGGCTCAGGCTAAGGCTCAGGCTCAGGCTCAGGCTCCTGCCTAGGCTAGCAGGGTTACGGCTAGCAGGGTTTAAAGGGTTACGGTAGTATTTGAGTCGAAAATAGTGCTCTACTGAAGAGCTGGGTAGGCAAATTGAAGCTTTGTTTCATTGCATTGCAGGACAAGTTGTAAAAGTTTGTTTTTGAAAAATCTACCATGCCTACTCGCAGCCCAGACATTTTTATGCGCTGAGTCGGTTTCGAGCAAATCGATCGAGCCTTGTGCTTCTGGGTGGGAGAGTGACGAGGCGAAGGAGAAGCTGAATAGATAAACTTAGATTTCGATAGATAAACTAGAATTTCTAGATTTCGATTTATTCTAGGAGATCTAATAGCAGAAACTTGTCTAAAGAGCTTCATAGATTAGAAGTTAAGGCTTCAAAAGCTTTCTTAAAGCTTCCATAAAGTTTCTAAAGCCTCCTTAAAGCTTCTAAGGCTTCCATAAAGCTTCTAAAGCCTCCATAAAGCTTCTAAAGCCTCCATAAAGCTTCTAAAGCCTCCTTAAAGCTTCCTAAAGCTTCTAAAGCCTCCTTAAAGCTTCGAAAGCCTCCTCAAAGCTTCCTAAAGCTTCCATAAAGCTTCTAAAGCTTCCTTAAAGCTTCTAAAGTTTCTAAAGCTTCCCAGAACTTTTTAAAACCAACCGATGATCGCTAGCGATAGTGTGCGCTTGAATGACACCGTCGTCGTGTCCGGTCCACACTTGTCTGCGAAAGGTTTTGATTTTTGAGTTTATGGCTAACTTAGATCACTTAGAAAACTTAGAAATCACAGATTTACTATATATAAAGATATATCTTGATCTAAAATCTGGTTATGGCAAAAAAGTTATTCAAGTAGCACTACGAGGAGTCGAACCCGGACCGTGTGGTTTGTAGACACGAGCCCTCCCGACTGCGCCACGACGACATTAGGACCAAGCCAGAAAAGCCCGCTATTAAGCTGAGATTTGTTATTTTCGTTAATCCATTACACTTGATATCGGCTTAAACCCGTTTAAGAACGCTTTTTTCTGGCCGGCCACCCATGTCGCTATGGCGCAGTCGGGAGAGCGCTGGCCTAGAGACCATACGATCCTGGTTCGGTCCCCACTACCGCCACTTGAATTAATTTTTTCAAATTTTTGACACAAGTCACATAACTATATGTTATTTTAAGATATATATTATAAATATTAGATTTCTTGGCACTACTTGGCACGAAGTTCGCTTTTGAGGAGTCTTTTAATCCAACCTGGCATCCTCGATATTCAGAGCGATCACAGCTTTGATCACAGATTGTGATGGGTGGCGAGAGAGGAGTGAAATTGAGAGAGACTCGTCGACACGGATCAAATTCAGTGAGCCGGAGCATGGGAGACAGAGGAGATCGGCTGGGAGAAGACACGGGCGACTGGAAGGGAAATCGATTTAAATGGATTTAAAGAAGTGCTCTGAATACACAAGTGTTAGGAGATCCGGATCCGGCACAGGGCCAATAAGTTGATCCAACGCCAGAGCTAGAGATCTGGCGTTGGATGGCCAGAGATCTGGCATTGGATCAGCTAGAGATCTAGCGTTGGATCAGCTAGAGATCTGGCATTGGATGGCCAGAGATCTGGCGTTGGATGGCCAGAGATCTGGCATTGGATGGTCAGAGATCTGGCATTGGATCGCTAGAGATCTGGCATTGGATGGCCAGAGATCTGGCGTTGGATGGCCAGAGATCTGGCATTGGATCAGCTAGAGATCTGGCGTTGGATGGCCAGAGATCTGGCATTGGATGGCCAGAGATCTGGCATTGGATGGCCAGAGATCTGGCATTGGATGGCCAGAGATCTGGCATTGGATGGCCAGAGATCTGGCATTGGATGGCCAGAGATCTGGCGTTGGATCAACCAGAGATCTGACGTTGGATCAGCTAGAGATCTGGCTTCCGGCTATAGCCATAGCTGTAGCCGTCATAGCTAGACTGACCAGGACATGCCAGGCTAGAAAGAGACAGGATAGGACAGGTCATAGCTCTCGAAGAGCTCCGGAAAGAGATCTTGATCAATTTCTCTCCACTGAACCCTACCAGACGACTTTCTCGCCATCGACTGGTAGTTCGACGTTGGCTGATTGATGAAGCGATGGAGCAAAGACGGTGAGAAGTCCGAGTTGATTGATTGACCACATTGATGTCGCTTCGGCGCCACGGAGAAGCCAATCCGGTTGAGCTTCTGGCACGACTCGCTAAAGTTGAGTAGAAGTAGAAGAAGTAATGCCAACTGCTTACAGGAGTCACTAGGAGTTACAGTATACTTACAGTATGCCTACAGCTACAGTATGCTTACAGTATGCTTACAGTATGCGCACAGTCTGACTGTCGTAGAGCCTAAACAAGCATTGATCTGCTAGCTCAAGATTTCAGTTCAACATTTCCCCACTTCCCATTCACTCACTCGATGCTCTGTCCATCCAAATTGTGTACAAGAAAGCGCTTGAATCGTTCCATTAAAGATCATCCAAATCTTTAAATGAAAAATGATTGAAAATCAATTTTTTGGCAATCTTCTCACCTCTGCATCAAGCTCTTCTTCATCCCAATCATCTGAAGTCACTAAAGAGCTGATTTGTTGAGGAGAAGCAGGGAATGGTAATTGGAGAGCATCAAGGAGTCGAGGGAATTCGGGTGATGAAACGAGTGAGACAAGATGTGACGAGGAGGGACGAAGAGACGGAGTTGAACGCCAACAAAGCACCATTGTGTCGAGCATGAGAGAGGGGACGAGCAACTCCTGGAGATGGTCAAGATTGGTGCTTATTGTAGAATTGTAGAATTTCTTTTTTTTGGTATGGAACAGGCTAGAGCCGGAAATCAGCCCGACAAACAACCCAAGGCAGTTACCAGATCCAAATCTGGCTTCTGGCTGGTTAGAAACTGGACCAGGATCTAGACCGGAGTCAGAAGTAGATCCAGACCTAGATCCAGACCTAGACCCAGACCTAGCTTAAGACCCAGTCAGACCCAGACCTAGACCTAGCTTAACCAAGTTGAATATAAGCCAAGTCAGCTCTGATTCAGCCTTGGCTGGTTGGCCTTGGCTGGTTGGCCTTGACTGATTGGCCTTGACTGGTTGGCCTTGACTGGTTGGCCTTGACTGGTTGGCCAAGTCAGCTCCGTTCTATGGCTGGTTGGTTGATGGATTAGGTTAGAAGCTAAATCCAAGTCAACCCATTTTCTGGTTTGGCTTCAGGGTCTAAGGCTTAGGGGCAAAGGCTTAGAGTCTAAGGCTCTAGGGCAAGGGCTCAGGGGCAAAGGCTCAGGGTCTAAGGCTCAGGCTCTATCATAAGGATCTTACATGTGGTAAGAGAAATGGTCTTGCTCCATCCAATAGCCGTTCTTTCACGTGATCTTCTCCATCAAATGGTAGCCGAAGTGAGAGTAGTTCATACATGAACATTCCAAAAGAGAATGAGTCAACCTAAAGGTTTGGACTGTTGGACTGTTGGATCTGTTGGATCGGTTGAATCTGTTGTTAGTTGGCAACTGTTGGACTGGGCCCTTTCAAGGCCAGAGATCCAAAAGATCCAACAGATCCAACAGTCCAAAAGATCCAACAGATTCAAAGGTTTTTGCTGTTGGATCTGCTGGATCTGTTGGATCTGCTGGATCTGTTGGATCTGTTGGACTGTTGGACTGTTGGACTGTTGGATCTGTTGGACTGTTGGACCTTGGACTGTTAGACTGTTGGACTGTTGGATCTGTTCTTGTTCTTCTTCCTGTTCTTCTTCCTATTCTTCTTCCTGTCCTTGTCAGTAATCTTTTCTCTCGTTAAAGCTAATTCAAAGCCAGAATCCTTTCAAGGCCAAATCCAATTTGCTGTACCTGTTGTGTATACTCTTCTTCCCCATTGAATCGCACGATTTCAGGCGCCATGAAACCCTCAGTACCGCCAAATCCCTTTGCACCTCCAGATGGCAAGATTGAGCGAGAAATCCCGTAGTCACCGAGTTTCACCAAGACCTAAATTTGAATTGAATTAGTTTACCAGGGTTTTTCCAGGCTAGCTGGCTAGGAAGGCTGGCTAGGAAGGCTGGCTAGCAAGGCTGGCTAGCAAGGCTGGCTAGCAAGGCTGGCAAGGCTGACTAGCAAGGCTGGCAAGGCTAGAAGAGCTAAATCCTTATCCAGATCAGCTATCTGGCTTAGAAAGAGTTCCCGGCTTAGGGTTAGGCTCCAGAAATCAGGCTGGAACCTGGTTCCTGTTTCCTGGAACCTGTTTCCTTTCGCCTACATGCTTTCACAACAATTTAAAAGCCTTTAGACAATGTTAGATTTGAATTTAGAGAACGAAAAAGGATTGATACCTCAAGCAAGTTAGAGAATGGTGGAGGGAATCTCCAGGCGAGTACGTTCTCGCTTTTCAAATCGCGATAGATGATGTGCTGATGATGGAGATACTCGAGAGCTTTGGCTACCTAAGATTTGCATTTTTTTTTTGTTTTGAAGCTTGATCTAGCCTTGCTCTACACTAGAATTTTAACAAAAACATAGATTTAAGGTTTTTCGTGTTTTTCTCAGCATCAACCCTTCGATTTTGTCTAATTTTACTCTCATTCGATGCAGAATCAAATTGTGCATCGATTGATTCAAAAATCAACTCAAAATCTAGTATCTACGCAAAGTTATGAGACAATTTAAGATTTTCCCTCTTTTTCTCAGCATAAACTTTTCGATTTTGACTATATTAACCCCGATTCGATGCAGAATCAAATTGCGCGTCGATTGATATAAAAATCAACTCAAAATCTAGTACCTATGCAAAGTTATTGGCTTTTTATTGACCATTATTGACCTTTTACCTCATAACTTTGCGTAGATACTAGCTTTTAAGTTGATTTTTATATCATTCGACGCAAAATTCCATTCTGCATCGAATGATAGTCTAAATAGTCGAAATTGAAGAGTTGGCGATGAGAAAAACACGAAAAACCTTAAATTGCCAGGGGAAAAGAACCAACAGCTATTTTCGTTAAAGGTCCGACCTGGTCCGACCAGCTTTTCAGCCTTTAGCCTTTCAGCCTTTCAGCCTTTAGCTTTTCAGCTTTTCGGCCTTTAGCTTTTCAGCTTTTCGGCCTTTCAGTCTTTCAGCTTCCCGTAGACCGATTTATATAAATTTTATTTTCTTACGTTTAGAATTCTATAAAGTTATGTATCTAATATTTCATTTTTTCAAAAACCAAAACTCATGACCGAGGCGGGAGTCGAACCCGGATGGTCGGGGGTTGTAGTCGAGCGACCTGCCGACTGCGCCACGAGGCGAGCTTGACAGTGGGCTGGGTTTTCGGGTGATAAACTCAATAGAGACTTTCGGCTGTTATTTTTCGGTTTTTCTCAGTTTTTTCAGTTATTTATCAGCTTATAAAGAAATTGATTCAAACAGAAAATTCCGTTGTACTGTAGTTGACAGTACTGTACTGTAGCCGTCCTGTAGCTGTACTGTAGCTGTACTGTAGGGCTGATTTTTCGGGTGATAAACTCGATAGAGACTTTCGGCTGTTATTTCTCAGTTTTTTTCAGTTATTTCAGTCATTTTGTCAGTTATTTCATCATCTTATAAACAAATTTAGTCAAATAAAAAAATCCCAGTGTATTTTGGTCGTTTTAACTCCATCAATCAAACAATTAAACCTGCATAAGCGCATCAGCGAGCACGGGTAATCCCAGCCGGCAACCACTTTTTCGATACGAGGCAAGGAGTTGATCGAGAGCGCCAAGTGGCGCCAATTCGACCACAAGAGAGAGCGGAGAGAAGGAAACGCCGAGCAGGGAAAGCACCGATGGATGTCGCATTCGCACGAGCAAGAAGAGCTCTTGTCTGGAAATTGAATCAAGGTTTCAATCGGAAATCAATATTGTAGATAATGGGTATTCTGTAAAGGCTTTTCTAGCTCTTCCTAGCTCTTCCTAACTCTTCCTAACTCTTCCTAACTCTTCCTAACTCTTCCTAACCCTCCCTAGCCTTCCCTAGCTCTTCCTAACTCTTCCTAACTCTTCCTAACTCTTCCTAACTCTTCCTAACCCTCCCTAGCCTTCCCTAGCTCTTCCTAACTCTTCCTAACTCTTCCTAACCTTCCTAACCTTCCTAACCCTCCCTAGCCTTCCCTAACTCTTCCTAACTCTTCCTAACTCTTCCTAACTCTTCCTAGCCCTCCCTAGCCTTCCCTAGCTCTTCCTAACTCTTCCTAACTCTTCCTAACTCTTCCTAACTCTTCCTAACTCTTCCTAACTCTTCCTAACTCTTCCTAACTCTTCCTAACCCTCCCTAGCCTTCCCTAGCTCTTCCTAACTCTTCCTAACTCTTCCTAACTCTTCCTAACCCTCCCTAGCCTTCCCTAACTCTTCCTAACTCTTCCTAACTCTTCCTAACTCTTCCTAACCCTCCCTAGCCTTCCCTAGCTCTTCCTAACTCTTCCTAACTCTTCCTAACTCTTCCTAACTCTTCCTAACTCTTCCTAACTCTTCCTAACCCTCCCTAGCCTTCCCTAGCTCTTCCTAACTCTTCCTAACCCTCCCCAGCCTTCCCTAGCTCTTTCTAGCTCTTCCTAACCCTCCCTAGCCTCCCTAGCTCTTTCTAGCTCTTCCTAGCTCTTCCTAGCCCTCCCTAGCCTTCCCTAGCTCTTCCTAACTCTTCCTAACTCTTCCTAACTCTTCCTAACTCTTCCTAACTCTTCCTAACTCTTCCTAACTCTTCCTAACTCTTCCTAACCCTCCCTAGCCTTCCCTAGCTCTTCCTAACTCTTCCTAACCCTCCCAGCCTCCCTAGCTCTTTCTAGCTCTTCCTAACCCTCCTAGCCCCCCTCTTTCTAGCTCTTCCTAGCTCTTCCTAGCCCTCCCTAGCCTTCCCTAGCTCTTCCTAACTCTTCCTAGCTCTTCCTAACTTTTTCTATCTCTTTCTAGCACACTGAGTCCTTGTTTTCATTCAGAAAAGACTCTTTTCAGCAAGAGAAATCGAGAATCCAGTGCATCAAAGCTGAATGAAGCAATGGTGACATAAGAATGGTAAAGAAAACGCTTAAAAAAGCTACAAAAAGCTTAATAAAGCTTTACCTGCAAGTACAATAGGCTTTACACGCATTCTCGCCTTCATCGCGTTCCCATTTCGCTAGAGCTGCCTGAAATTCGATCGATTAGTTGTCTAGTTCTTTTTTTAAAAATACCCGATAAGCTTGAGCTGCACTTCCACGGCTTTGCCCCGGATCGACTGGCTCTAGCATTTTCACTGCCGCATCTACGATCTCTCCGCCCTAAATTTAAAAATATTATCAAGCCATTACTCTCTGTTAAATCCAAAATCGAATAAAAACTGTAAATTTGGAAATTTGTAAGTTATTGGGTTTTTAAACTAACAAAAAAAGGAATTGGCTGAGCGAAATCCTATGCAATCTATCCCATTCGACGCAGAATTTCACGCTGATTCCGAATCTATCTTCCGTTTTTGTCAAATGACAATCTCTCAAGAGTTATAAGGGTTTAAAGTTTTTTAGGACTGTGGTTAAGCTAATATTAAAGCTAAAGAATATGGAAATCTAGAATAATAATCATTTCCCATCTTTACCTTTGTTCTCAGTGTCGATCGGAAGACGAAACCGAAAGCACCGCGTCCAAGCAGTCGACTCTGACGCATTGCTTCTGAGGCGATTAGCAAAGAACCCTAAAAATAGAAAGTTTGTCTTTTTGCTGGGAATTTAAACATTAACTAACTTGGACCTGGTCTAGGCATAGATCTTGTTCTGGACCTGGACTAGACTAGACATAGATCTGGTTCTGGATCTGGCCTAGACTAGAATTAGTCTTGTTCTGGACCTGGTCTAGGCTTAGATCTTGTTCTAGACCTGGCCTAGGCTTAGATCTTGTTCTAGACCCGGATCTGGCTTCATCTGGCTTAAGCCTGGACTTTAGCTCTGATCCTGGACCTTGATCTGGAGACGGAGCTTGACCTAGATCTGGCCTTGATCTAGTCTATATCTGGCCTAGTTCTGGCCTTGTTCTGGCCTTGATCTAGCCTTGACTAGCCTTGACTAGCCTTGACTAGCCTTGACTAGCCTAGATCTGGCCTGGATCTGGCCTGGATCGGAGCCTAATCAGGATCTAGATGTGGGCATTAGAGCTTATAATTACCGTATTTTCTCTAATAGTAGTGCACCCCGGCGAGCCGAGTTGATGCCTATTTTACGGTTTCCAAGCTTTTGCAGAAGCTCAAGAGTCTAATCCATCACTAGATCTCATCGTCAGCTACATTTTCCGACCGCACATCGATAGGTTCTGATAAGCGGTTCTCGAGATTTCGAGGGATTTAGGCGACGCTCTGGGTGGACTACTATTAGAGAAAATACGGTATGTGTGCTAAAGAGTGAACCGGATCGTAAACTACCAGATTTTCTTCACAGTTTGGGATCCGGTTTCCAAACTTTTAAGAAAATTTGGGTTTTAAAATGTTCTAAAGAAAATTTTTAGTGTTTTCAACGTTTTTCTTTATTAAATGGTTGTAAAGAAGATTGAAAATTGATTAAAATTCAAATTTCTACTTATATTTCTTCCAAAAATAGTCATTTTTCTAGAAAAATCGCTTTTTAAAGCACGGCCGAGTCACGATTTTCAATGAAAAAAGTCATTTTTCAATGAAAAAAACCATTTTTCAACGAAATCTTTCGGATTTTAGACTAGATTCGCGAAATTTTAGCGTCAAAAAGCTCATAGCTTCTCCAATTTCACTCAAATCTTTCTCTTTTTCTTTTTAATCGATAGAGAATGAAATTCTGAGTTAAATAATTTTAAAATGAAAAGAATTTGTCGGAAATTGACAGAGATATGACGGTTTTTATTTTCTGGTTTTTCTGGTGGTCAGAAAAGACTTTAAAAAAGCTTTTAAAGCTTTAAAAGCTTTTAAAAGAGCTTTAGCAGCTTTAAAAGCTTTTAAACAGCTTTAGATCCTTGCCTCTAGATCAGCAAAATGTAAATCGGGTGCCAGAAGTCTTGTGGAGATTTGTCCGTGCTGTGGACAGTCGACCCATGCACCGCGACGCGACGCAGCGATACACTCCTCGATCATGTACGCGTAGTACTTCTTGCTCGTTCTCAAATCGTGCATTGTTCGAGAGCGAAGGCTAGAAAGCGGCTTGTTGGCTTAGTTCATCGTTTTCGGCTTTCATTTGAGCTCACAGCTTGTTTGAGCTCGCAGAAAAACTCAAAAAATTCCCCCGGGATCGAACCCAGACCTCCCACCTGTGATACAAGACTCCTAACCATTCAGCTATGGCGGATAGTGGGCTAGAGAAGGGATGGAGCTATGGAGTAAAGAAAAAAACCCTTCAAAACCTCACCCAGACGTTTTTCTGGTTTGTCCAGGTAGATCGAAATCATCGTGCGAGGCCTCTCGACTTCTGATCTCATCACCGGCACAGTGCATGCACGGGATCAAACGCTGCACCAAGAGATCACCAGCGGACGAGTGCACGAAACGGGTGCCCAGTGAAGGGTACCTAGAAATGGAGGAATCGCTAGAATAGCCTAGAAATGGAGCCATGGCTAGATGGCTAGAATTGCCTTGATTCTACATCTTAATTAAATCTTAAACATCTTAAACTTTCAATCTCCCATTTACCTTAAAAAATCCCCATAAAATCACTACGAAAATACTTTAAAAACAACTTAAATCTTGAATTCAATAATCACAAGAAAGTTTTTAAAAATAAAGATAAAAATGGAGAGAATTTGGTGGCAAGCGGAATTGAACCAGCGATCCTCGGCCTCAGAGTCCAGCCTACCATCCACTAGGCCACCGATGCTTTTGGCAGACTTCGGTGTGGCACCCTCTTATAGATGAGGTCGTCAAAACAAAAATGCCAAAACCACGACCTCACCTATAACAGGGTGCCACACCGAGACCTGCCAGAAGCATCGGTGGCCTAGGGGATAGTGGGCTAGACTCTAAGACGGATGGTCACTGGTTCGATCCCGCCTGGCGCCAAATTTTTTCCTTTTTTTGTTAAAAGTAAGAGAAATAGTACTAGAGCTAGTCTAATAGTACTAGAGCTAGTCTAATAGTACTAGAATCTAATAATCCAAGCCCTTACCAATCCTCTAGCAGTGTATCAACAAGGTCAGTGATTAACGCTAAAAGTGATGCGGCTGCCGTCTCATCCATGCAAATTTCGACGCGATTTGAAGCCTCCAGCACGACTGTCATACTGAAATCAATTTTTGGTATTTTCGACGAGATTTCGAGCGTACAGTCTCGTAGTCGCTAACTGTTTTAGTGATCAAAAACGAGTTGACACTAAAATAATCGTTGGTGGGTCAAAAGGCCAAAGCTAAAGGCTCTAAATGCCCAAAATTGAGCTCTAAATGCTTATCGATAAGCTATAGCCCTTTTATAGCTTTTAGCACCTCAACGAAGCGATCAACATCTCGACGATCGGCTTTGAAGCGATTCCCGACGATCTCCATTGAGTTTCTTGTTGAATTGACCAATCGGACTGAAAATTGAGAATAAAAGGAATTGGCTGAGCGAAATCCTATGCAATCTATCCCATTCGACGCAGAATTTTACGCTGATTCCGAATCTATCTTCCGTTTTTGTCAAATGACAATCTGTCAAGAGTTATAAGGGTTTAAAGTTTTTTAGGACTGTGGTTAAGCTGAACATTTAGCCTCCTTGAGGACCTTAACGGCCTCCTTGAGGACCTTGACGGTCTCCTAGCGGACCTTAACTGCCTCCTTGAGGACCTTAACAGCCTCCTTGAGGACCCAAACGGCCTCCTTGCGGACCTTAATGGCCTCCTATGATCCGTTGCAGGCGTGGCCGAGTGGTACAGCTCTCGTTTCTAGAGCGAGACCTCACGAGTTCGATCCTCGCTTTGGATTTTTGATCTGACCTAGACTAGCCTTGAGCTAACTTGGACCTGGGCTAGACTTGCTTTGGTCCTGGACCTAGGCTAGACTTAGATGATCTGAACCCGGGTCTTGCTTTAGCCTTATCTGGCTTAAACCTGGACTTTAGCTCTGGTCCTGGACCTTGATCCGGAGACGAACCTTGATCTAGATTTGGCCTTGATCTGACCTTGATCTGGCCTTGATCTAGCCTGGATTTGAGCCTGATCTCGATCTAGATCTGGGCCTTGATCTGGCCTGGACCTGGCCTTAATCTGGCCTAAGCCTAAACCTGGACAGACCCTGCTATCGCCGAATGGTTAGGAGTCTTGTATCACAGGCGGGAGGTCCGGGTTCGATCCCAGGCTAAGCTTTTGGGTTTTAAAACAAGCTGCGAGCTCAAGAGGCTGAATAATATGATGCACAACGAAGCTCACCTGCGCATAGTGCACATCTCGAACTTCGGCATTCGGGAGGAATTGTTTGAGGATGAAAATCGAATGTCCTTTGATCAAGAGTTCAATCCCGGTTTCCCAGAGCATCCACTCGGGCAGAATTCGGCCTTTCAATGCTGGAATCACTGACGGGGTTGAGGTTGGGTCTTGCGATGAGAAGAGTTGAGAAACCACTCGACAGACCGAGGAGTCACCAATGATTCTGAAAGTTTTGTAAATTTCGAGAGATTTAAGCCCGGAGAGGGGGTTTTATAGAAATTACAGTACGTAGTAGGAATCTATAGTTAAAACGGCTACAGCTACAATGGCTAGAAGCTACAATAGCTACAAGCACAATGGCTACAAGCACAATAGCTACAAGCACAATGGCTACAAGCTACAATAGCTACAAGCACAATGGCTACAAGCTACAATAGCTACAAGCACAATGGCTACAAGCTACAATAGCTACAAGCACAATGGCTACAAGCTACAATAGCTACAAGCACAATGGCTACAAGCTACAATAGCTACAAGCACAATGGCTACAAGCTACAATAGCTACAAGCTACAATGGCTACATGCTACAATAGCTACAAGCTACAATAGCTACAAGCTACAATGGCTACAAGCTACAATGGCTACAAGCACAATGGCTACAAGCTACAATGACTACAGGCTACAATAGCTACAGCCTACAATGGCTACAAGCACAATGGCTACCAGCTACAATGACTACAGGCTACAATAGCTACAAGCTACAATAGCTACAGCCTACAATGGCTACAAGCCTACAATGGCTACAAGCTACAATAGCTACAAGCACAATGGCTACAAGCTACAATAGCTACAAGCACAATGGCTACAAGCTACAATGGCTACAGGCTACAATAGCTACAGCCTACAATGACAATCTACAACATCTACAATCTCCAATGACAGTTTCTTGAACCCTAGCAACTCTTAAGCTCTTTTGAGCTCTTAAATTTACTTTTAACGATTACCTAGTGATGAGACGAGGCCAAAAACCGGCAGGCATGTAAGCCAACGAAATGAGCCGACGAAAACGAATTGATCGACTGTACGTGAAGTGCACCACAGCTCCAGCACTCTGAAAAGTCCCCAGGTCTCCAGATTCTAGAAAAAGCCTGGTTCACTCACCGATGATTTGCTCTCACTCGTTAATGGCTCGTAGCCTGATTCAGCAGCTCTAAAACGAGATTTTGACTCTCTAAAGGCACTTGAACTAGAAAGGATCTAGTCCTTGTGATCTAGAAAGGATTTAATAATCTAGAGATAAACCTAGCCAATTGTGAATGCTGTGGAGTGAGATCTGGGCCAATTTGTGCACTCCTTAACCTCCAAGCACATCCCCGTACAAGGACTTTCACCTAAAATTGTTCAACAAATTACTATAAGCTTTATAAGCTACTGTTCTTGACGGAAATTCGGATCGAAGCATGTACTCGTCGGGGAGAAGGCAGGGGACAAGAAGAAGTGGAGAGGAACAAACAAGAGCCACCTGGAAATCAGATTTAACAATTGCTTCTCTAGCTTTAACCAGTGCTTCTCTAGCTTTAACTTCTCTAGCTTCTCTTCTCTAGCTTCTCTTCTCTAGCTTCTCTTCTCTAGCTTCTCTTCTCTAGCCTCTCTTCTCTAGCTCTCTTCTCTAGCTTCTCTTCTCTAGCTTCTCTTCTCTAGCCTCTCTTCTCTAGCTTCTCTTCTCTAGCTTCTCTTCTCTAGCTTCTCTTCTCTAGCTTCTTTTGCTTAAAACCCCTTCAACAACTAATAAACTTATCACAAACACTCTCTTAAACAAATTTTAATCTAAAGTTTTCAAATCTTAAAGATAAGTCATTCAAAAACGATAATTCAAAAGGGAAAGGTCCCGGGGAGATTTGAACTCCCGTCGCAGGATTCAGAGTCCTGAGTGCTAACCGCTACACCACGGGACCGCTCCGCAGGCCTTGTTGGAAAGAGGCTTTCAATGGGGAGAGGGAAAAGCTGAAGCGTCCCGCTACCCCATTCCCATTGAAATCCCTTTCCATCACCTGGCTTCCAACGGTCCCGTGGTGTAGTGGTTAGCACTCAGGACTCTGAATCCTGCGACGGGAGTTCAAATCTCCCCGGGACCTTTCATTTTTTGAAATTTTGTTTTAGCTTAGGGTTGAGTGTGAATGCTAACTGATAGACGAAAAGATCGTTTAGAAGCTCTAGAACACTGTTACCAACCTCAAACTTGTGTAGAACATTCATTAAGAACACCCGATGTAAGGCACGATCGAATTGAAAAGATCTGAAGAAAGGAAACAAATGGTTGAATGAAAACAAAAGAAATGGTTGAATTTCAAGGTGAGGAGCTTGTATTTGTGAAAAACTCTGATCAAAAAGCGCTCTAAAGCTCTCCAAAGCTCTCTAAAGCTCTCCAAAGCTCTCCAAAGCTTTCTAAAGCTCTCCAAAGCTCTCTAAAGCTTTCTAAAGCTCTCTAAAGCTCTCTAAAGCTCTCTAAAGCTCTCTAAAGCTCTCTAAAGCCTCTAAAAGCCTCTAAAGCCTCTAAAGCCATCTAAAGCCATCTAAAGCCATCTGAAAGCCATCTAAAAGCCCAAAGCCTCTAAAGCTCTCTAAAGCCCCAAAGCTCTCTAAAGCTATCTAAAGCCATCTAAAGCCACTAAAGCCTCTAAAGCCTCAAAGCTCTCTAAAGCTCTCTAAAGCTCTCTAAAGCTCTCTAAAGCTCTCTAAAGCTATCTAAAGCTATCTAAAGCTATCTAAAGCTATCTAAAGCTATCTAAAGCTATCTAAAGCTATCTAAAGCTATCTAAAGCTATCTAAAGCTATCTAAAGCTCTCTAAAGCTCTCTAAAGCTCTCTAAAGCTATCTAAAGCTATCTAAAGCTAAAAGAATCAAATAGAATCCAATAGAAAGTTCGAAAAACCTACTTGAAAACGTTTCCAAGTTGCTCGGGCAAAATGATTGCGGCTGGGCCAGACGGCGGTCGAACTCTGACACAAGCGCAGATCGCATCAAGCAAATAAATCGGATCGATACAATACGTAGAGCTAGAAGTTTTTCCTTTGTTTTTAACTCTAAAACTCTTTCATTCTTTTCGTTTTAACTATCTAATCGTTTTCGAAAAGGCTCGGGGAAAACGGTTTAGCGAAAACGATCATTTTTCCCTTCTAATCAACTCCATGGCTTTTATAACACCAAAACTGTTTTCGATTACGGCTTTTTGATTGATTGGCATTTAGGAAATGAAACAATGAATGATTACCGTAAACTAGCGTCCTCATAGTGAACAATTTCACCGCAATCATGGAGAAAAGAAACTGCCGCTTGAAATTCACCGTCATCTCTAGAAAGAACGAATTTCTTTTCTCATAATCAATCGTTGAATGTGTTAAAGATCTTTTTGGAAATACGAAACTTGTTAGAAACAAGATAGAACGATTTTAAACACAAAACACAAAGAAAAGAACAATATCTTTACTTTTCGATAAAACTTTTTCAAATTTTAAAGCGAAAGCAAAAGTGAAAGGTCCTGGGGAGATTTGAACTCCTGTCGCAGGATTCAGAGTCCCGAGTGCTAACCACTACACCACGGGACCGTTTGGAGCCAGGTGATGGAAAGGGATTTCAATGGGAATGGGATAGCCGGATTCCCTCAGCTTTTCCCTCTCCCCATTGAAAGCCCCTTTTCAACCAGGCCTTCACAACGGTCCCGTGGTGTAGCGGTTAGCACTCAGGACTCTGAATCCTGCGACGGGAGTTCAAATCTCCCCGGGACCTTTCGTTTTTGGAATTTTGATTTATCTTTAGAATTTGAAGAGTTTAGATTAAAATTTGTTTAAGAGAGTGTTTGTGATAAGTTTATTAGTTGTTGAAGGGGTTTTAAGCAGTTGTTAAAGCTAGAGAAGCTGTTAAAGCTAGAGAAGCATTGGCTAAGCTAAAGAACCCTTGGTAAAGCTAGAGAAGCACTTAAAGCTAAAGAATCACTTGTTAAAGCTAGAGAAGCACTTGTTAGGCTAAAGAAGTCCCCGTTAAAGCTAGAGAAGCCCTTGTTAAGCCAAGAAGCACTGGTTAAAGCTAAAGAATCCCTTGTTAAGCTAAAGAAGTCCCTGTTAAAGCTAGAGAAGCCCTTGTTAAGCCAAGAAGCACTGGTTAAAGCTAAAGAATCCCTTGTTAAGCTAAAGAAGTCCCTGTTAAAGCTAACGAAGCCCTTGTTAAGCCAAGAAGCACTGGTTAAAGCTAAAGAAGTCCCTGTTAAAGCTAGATAAGTCCTTGTTAAGCCAAGAAGCACTGGTTAAAGCTAGAGAAGGTGTTAAAGCTGCTAAAGCTAAATTTCGTTGTCTCTAACTGTTTACCTGAACACTTGACCCATTTTATTTCTCATTCTCTCTTCGACTCGTCCCCTCAACTCGTCACCGCTCATCAATGGATGAATTGAAGATTCGCCGTCTCTTCGCTCAGCATTCAGCTCGTGAATCACCTAGAAACTTGTTTTAAAGAGAAATTGAATGATTAGGGTTACTAGGAAAATTCGAATCGATTTATTCTATTGAAACTAGCACAGAAATTCTAAGCTGGCAATTCAAAGGCTTGTTTTTCCTTTGTTTTTCTTTGTTTCCTTGTTTCCTTGCTTTCTTGTTTCCTTGTTTTTGTTCTTATTTTTTCATTTTATTCAATCTCATCCAAGTAAAATGCTTTTAAAGTTAAGTACTAGAAAACGAGATCGTCGCGTTATAGCGCTGAATTCCCCAAGCCCGGTGACCGAATGGTGTAGTGATTAGGGTGCTAGCCTTCGATCTTTTCGATCTTTTCCTTGGTTTGTCTCTAGGTTTTGCATTGTGCTGCTGAAGGACTATGTGCTTTCGATGATTTCGTTTGACCAAAGCGTCGCTTTCGATGATTTCGTTTGACCAAAGCGCCACTTTCGATGATTTCGTTTGACCAAAGCGTCGCTTTGGTCAATCGCTTTGGTCTATTTTTCACTAAGCATCGCATAAATCCGGTAATCGGTAATAAATCCGTAATAAATCGGTAATAAGTCGATAATATTCGATCTTAAAGTGGCGTATTGCAAAGAAGAGATTGTTTTAAGATCACTGTTACCCCTAGAGATGATTGTTTCGAGCTGAGGATTTGTTTGTGACCATTTTTGACGATTTTCTGTCTCAATCTAGCTTTTATTCTATGTTTCTATGTTTTTAACGCGATTTTGCTTTCTTCAGCAGCCTTGTTGGCCTTCTACAGCCTTATTGGCCTTCTCCAGTGGCCTTTTTGGCCTTCTCCAGTGGCCTTTTTGGCCTTCTCCAGCAGCCTTTTTGGCCTTCTCCAGCAGCCTTTTTGGCCTTCTCCAGCAGCCTTTTTGGCCTTCTTCAGCAGCCTTTTTGGCCTTCTTCAGCAGCCTTTTTGGCCTTCTTCAGCAGCCTTTTTGGCCTTCTTCAGCAGCCTTTTTGGCCTTCTTCAGCAGCCTTTTTGGCCTTCTACAGCCTTATTGGCCTTCTCCAGCAGCCTTTTTGGCCTTCTCCAGCAGCCTTTTTGGCCTTCTACAGCCTTATTGGCCTTCTCCAGCAGCCTTTTTGGCCTTCTATAGCCTTATTGGCCTTCTACAGCCTTTTTGGCCTTCTTTCAACTAACCTTTATCATATGGACATGTGTTGATGGAACGGGCGCATCTAAAAGTCGCTCTCTACCCATTCTTGACTCCCAAGCTGCTCGTAAAATCGATTGCGTCAACATTTTCATCGATGCCTTTGACTTGCTCGATACCAACAGCACATCGATCACTCTGAAAAGCAAATCGATCATTCTGACTGAAGCCTCTCATTGTTGTTGTGTCATTGTTGTCTCCTCACTTTGGTAATCCTTTCTTATCAGCGTCTGCCGTCAACCATCTTTGTCTGCAACGATTCTCAAGCTCTTCTAGAAAACCAGCTGGAATCCGGTCGGCATTCTGAGCGATTTGATCTCGATGAGTTCCCACAACGACCACGCAAGCGTTTGGAGCTCGAGCCTAAAATTAGCATTGGTTTCTAGGAGTCCTAAGTCAATCAGAAACAAGCTAGTGTCAAGATTAGGCTTGGAACCTGTAAGCTAAACCAAACCAGCCAGCGTCAGAGCTAGCCAGCCAGCCTCAGAACCAGCCAGCCAGCTTCAGAGCTAGCCAGCCAGCTTCAGAACCATCCAGCCAGCCTCAGAGCCAGCCAGCCAGCTTCAGAGCCAGCCAGCCAGCTTCAGAGCCAGCCAGCCAGCTTCAGAGCCAGCCAGCCAGCCAGCCAGCCTAGACAACGATTCACTAGTTCTCGATTCAAACATCGATTCAACGATTCAATTCAAATCAATTTTCTAGAAATCTAATCAACTTCAATTTTTACATGATATCCAACTAAGAAAAACCCAAAGTTGAAGGAGAATCTGTCTACTCAAAAACGAGTTAATAGGGGGGAGAACGTTTCAGGCTATTTCTTCAAGTTTGAGTAGACAGATCTTCCTATAACTTTGAGTTTTTCTTAGTTGGATGTCACATAAAAATTTGAATTGATTAGATTTTAATTTTTTTGGTTTTTGGAATAAAAAGAAAAGGTCTGGAAGCTGTTCCCCTTGTTAACCTTTTTTGGAATGAACAGATTTTCCTAAAACTTTCAGTTTTTCTTAGTTGGATATCACATAAAAATTTGAATTGATTAGATTTCTAGAAAATTGATTTTAGATTGTCAAGGTAGCTAGGTCTAGGTCTAGGTCTAGGTCTAGGTCCAGGTGGGACTTGTTCAGAGTCAAGTCAAGTCCAGACTTGAAAATTCGTTTCCCTAGCTAATTCCTGTTGCTACCTGAATCGATACGAGCATTCTTTCGGCTTGCTCGACTCCTTCATCACAATCGGAGATCTTAAAAACGACGATGAAGACAGCTCGTCGGCTCATCGCATAGGGTTGAACAGCATGGAGTTCACGCTGAAAAAAATGGATTTCTATAGCTTTAAATCAATCTAGCTAACATAATAATACTAAAATTAATAGAATAAAACTTAAAAGAGTTTTGAAATTCTTAAAAAATCCCTTTTTCCCAAAAAAAAGCTCTACCTTTTCCATTTGGAGGTGTTTTTTCTAAAGGAAATATTGGAAAATGAACAGATGTCTATAGCTATTGTACTCTAAAATAATTCTAGAGTACTGTAGAGTACTGTAGAGTACTTTAGAGTACTGAAAAGGTACTCTAGAGTACTGTAAAGTACTTTAGAGTACTAAAATGACCAGATATCTATAGCTATTGTACTCTAAAATGACTCTAGAGTACTCTAGAGTCCTCTAGAATCATTCTACAGTACTCTAGAGTACTCTAGAGTCCTCTAGAATCATTCTACAGTACCCTAGAGTACTGTAAAGTACTGTAGAGTACTCTAGAGTACTTCAGAGCACTGTAAAGTCCTATAGAGTACGGAAAACAGTACTCTAGACTACTAAAAACAGTACTGCAGTTGATTTAAGTAATATCTATAGCTATTGTACTCTAAAATGACTCTAGAGTACTCTAGAGTCCTCTAGAATCATTCTACAGTACTCTAGAGTACTCTAGAGTCCTCTAGAATCATTCTACAGTACTCTAGAGTACTGTAAAGTACTGTAGAGTACTCTAGAGTACTTTAGAGCACTGTAGAGTCCTTTAGAGTACTAAAAACAGTACTCTAGACTACTAAAAACAGTACTGCAGTTGATTTAAGTAAGCCAAAGCTCAGCTGAGCTCAGCTGAGCCTATTTTTAATCTATTTAAACTACAGTACCCAGGATTACTGTATCATTTTATCTATAGTAAAATAAGCTTTAGATAGATGAATTTTTCTTCTCAAAAATCTCGATCTTTTGAAAAAATCGAGATTTTTCCTTTTAAAAAACTATCAAATGCAAAATCCAAGCCAATCCGACTGATTCGAGACTTTTCTTGGGACAAATGGTTAAAATAAACCCGGCTAATAGATTCTACGACCCTGAAAACCCCTAGGCACAAATTTTTAACATTAAATCTCATTTGGCAATCGTTTACAGAAGAAAAGAAAGCACTGGATAGCAGCTGGTGAAGTGTTCTTTGTGCGAGCCTACAATCGCTCGCTTTCTGGCACATGTTCTCGATAGATAGTCTTGCCTTTTACTAGGTAACCTTCCAATAGACCCCCGATTCCAATAGACAAGCGACATCTCGTTTACAAGGCTTCTTTCATCGCCTGGATGAGATGACTTGGTGGCGCAGTGGATAGGAGGCCGGGGCACTAGGCGGCCGATTGCTTTTTGCTTGAGTTCGAATCCACCAGGCACAAATTTTCAGCATCTCATTTGAGAATCGTTTACAGAAGAGAAGACTGGATGGTGGTTGACGAAGTGTTCTTTGTGCCCGCGCACAATCGCTCGGAACCAGGCTGATTCCAACGCCGAGCCTGATTCCAACGCCGAGCCTGATTCCAACGCCGAGCCTGATTCCAACGCCGAGCCTGATTCCAACACCGAGCCTGATTCCAACACCGAGCCTGGTTCCAACACCGAGCCTGATTCCAACGCCGAGCCTGATTCCAACACCGAGCCTGGTTCCAACGCCGAGCCTGGTTCTAACGCTTTCGGAATGGTGATTTTCTCTAGTTCACACCAAAAAAAAAACCCCAATCATCGCTTAAACTTACGATAAAGCAACTACGGGCAAGATTGCAAGATTTCTAATTGAAGAATCGATTTTCGATCTATTTATAAAGCTGAAAATACCTTATCGCATGTGAAATCGATGGCGTGAAAAGTGACCGGGCCATACAATTGCTCGCCTTTCACTTTTTTCGACTCCAGCTTGAACTCGGCGATTTTCAACGACTCCGCGATGAAAACCGGCCTTTTTGAAGCGCCTTCAGACTGAAATTTGAGAATTTGAGAATTTTTGAATTCTAAAGCTCTCTAAAGCTCTCTAAAGCTCTCTACAGCTTTCTACAGCTCTCTAAAGCTCTCTAAAGCTCTCTGAAGCTATTCTAAACCTATTCTAAACCTATTCTAAAGCCTTCCGAAGCTTAAACAAAGAATTACGATAGATTATAGTCATTAGACTGATCTCAATCAGACTCTAAACTCATAGAAAAAGATTAATAAACATTTTCGCGACTGTAGACGTCTGTAGAGGCTTTACGAGCTCTAATGAACGTTTAGCAAACATTTAAATCGTGCTCCGCCTACCGTAATCGCCAGTTTATCTCATAAAACAAATCTTGAATTGAAATATTTCACTTTTAGTCTTTAATTAGCTCTAGAAATGTCTACGATTTAGCGATCGATGATTACGGTAACTGGGACACGATTTAGAAGAGGTTACGTGTGAATTCCGAGAAAAGGAATCAACTCTTGCTCTTTAGCTTTAGCTTTAGCTGTTAGCCAATTGGCCTAGCAATAAATTAAGCCATAATAATGGCTTTGAATCGAATCGAAACTAAGCCCCGCCCCTTTTCCCATTGGCAATCTAAATTCAAGTCGAACTTTAAACTCAGATTTCTCCGTGTTGGGTCATTCGATTGAAATAGTTTTGGTATCATTAGATGCGCAAAGACTTTCTCTATCGATTGGTAGAAAAATGATTCAAATTGGACAGCTCAATGCTGAGATATTTGAACTCAAAGCCCCGCCCCTTTTCCCATTGACAATCTAAATTCAAGTCTAACTTTAACCTCAAATTTCTCCGTGTTGGGCTATTCAATTTAGATGTTCTTGGTATCATTAGATGCGCTAAGTCTTTCTCTATCCATTGGTAAAAAAATGATTCAAATTGGGCAGCTCAATGCTGAGAAATTTGAGTTTAAAGTTGGATTGGCAAAGCCCATTGACGCCATTGACAATTGAACTTTGAACTTAAATTTCTCAGTGTTGGGCTATTCAATTTAAATGTTCTTTATATCATTAGATGCGCTAAGTCTTTCTCTATCGATTTCTAGAAAAACTATTTAAATCGGACAGCTCCATGCTGAGATATTTGAAGTTAAAGCCCCGCCCCCTTTGTCATTGGCAATCTAACTTTAAACTCAAATTTCTCAGCGTTGAGCTGTCCAATTTGAATCATTTTTCTACCAATGGATAGAGAAAGACTTAGCGCATCTAATGATATTAAAACTATTTCAATTGAATAGCCCAACACTGAGAAATTTGAGTTTAAAGTCCGATGTCGGGGGCCAAATGTTCGCTAGCCGCTTTTCAATGTAAATTCGGTATTTTCTATAGAAATTCGTAAAGAAAAGAGTTGAAATTTGTGTAAATTTCTAAAGAAAAGCCTTTTTAAAAGGAAAAGACTCTTTAAAATTCACCCTAATCGCTTCCCAAAGAGTGGTGCGTCCACTGGCAGGTGCTCCAAGAAAAATAAGCCTCAAATGTCGATAGGCTTTGGCTCTAAAACGTTGTAGAATGTTTAAATGATTCGATTCGATTTTCGAATTCGATACGCATAATTTTTAGCTTCTACAACTCAATGAGACAAACGATGGAAAGGAATGGGGATGAGGTGACGAAGATCGGATTTTAATGTTTGCATTGTCATGAAAATCTTAACAATCTACCGTAAACAGTCTCTGTTTGTCTATACGGCTTTCTCGGCTAAAACTCCTTTAAGAAATCTTAGAACATCTTGTAGTTTTCTTGTAGTTTTCTTGTAGTTGTACCATTTCATTGAAAAATTCAAAAATCAAATTTCCGCGTCACTGAGGGGAGTCGAACCAGCGCCGTGTGGGTTGTGGACGAACGGCCTGCCGACTGAGCCACGACCACGCTGAGACCAGGGAGAAAAAAACCAGCTAGAAAACCGCGATTGGCTAGAAATCAGCGACTTAACGACTGCCGGCGGGTTTCTAGATGTTTTTGTTGATCGTCTAGCTGTCCCCATGGCGCAGTCGGTTGCCCACTGGTTTACAACCCACACAGCGAGGGTTCGATCCCCATACTGCCAGTCGGGTTGATTTTTTTTTAATTTAGATTATGTTTTATAATTCTTAGCTTCTACAGCTCACTGTTCAATCAAAAATTCAAAAATCTAATTTCTTTGCCACTGAGGGGAGTCGAACCAGCGCCGTGTGGGTTGTAGACGAACGCCCTCCCGACTGAGCCACGATGACGCTGAGACCAGGAGGAAAAAAACCAGCTAGAAAACCGTGATTGTCTAGAAATGGCTTGACGCGATTGCCTTAACGACTGACATCACGTTTCTAGCTGTTTTCTTTTGTTGATCATCTAGGCGCAGTCGGTTGCTCACTGGTTTTACAATCCACACCATGCGGTTTCGATTCCCGATACTGCTAGCCGGGCCCATTTTTTTGAGTTTTTGATTTAAATTAGAATTCGATACTTATAATTCTTAACTTCTACAATTCACTGTTCCAGAATTCTTGTAGTTGTGCCATTTCATTCAAAAATTCAAAAATCTAATTTGAGTGTCACTGAGGGGAGTCGAACCACCATCTTGTGGGTTGTAGACGAGCGCCCTCCCGACTGAGCCACGATGACGCTGAGACCCGAAGGAAAAAACCAGCTAGAAACCCGCAATTGGCTAGAAACGGCTTGACTCGATTGGCTTAACGACTAGGTTTCTAGCTGGTTTTTTTGTTGATCGTCTAGCTGTCCTCATAGCGCAGTGGGTTGCTCGCTGGTTTACAACCCACGCAACGCGGGTTCGATCCCGCGCACTGCCAATCAGGTTCAATTTTTCAATTTTTGATTTAGATTAGATTCTATAACTCGATTCTTAACTTCTAAAACTCACTGTTCCAGAATTGATTTAAGAAAAGCAACCAATTGTACAGTTTTGCATTGTTCAACATTCACCATCGAGTTTAGCGGTTCCTAGATAGAGATTAAAGCAATATTTGAAAAGATTTCAAAAAAAAAGCCAACCTTTAAACAACAATTCTTCAATGAAAGTGACCATAATCGAGAAAGAAGTCCAATCTCAGCTGGTAGCGTTTCCAATGGAACATTCCCTGCAAAATAATCATCAATAATGATCAGTCAAACATCAATCAATCATCAATAATCATCAATCAATCGATTACCATTCAAATTCAAAACAGCTAGTGTTGCGATGTGACCGATTAGTGGTGGAAGTGCGGCTAGATGATTATCGGAAGCGTCTAAAACCGAGAGTGCGGGGAGGAGAGGAAGTGAGTGAGATGACCATAAATCAAGCCGTTTCAACTCGTTTCCAGCCACTGAAACAACTTTTCGATTTTGTCGATTATTTATTGAAGCATTCATTCTACTAGAACTCCAGGGCTAACCTAGATTTCCAAGCTCAGCATCAGGATTCTAGATCTCAGAACTAGCCTAGACTAGCCTCTGTCCTGGACTGGACTGGACTGGCCTGGACTGGCCTGGACTGGCTGACCCTTGGACCTAGATCCAGCCTTGACTTGATCTTTAGCCAGCTTGATCTTCAACCAGCTTGATCCTAAGCTTGATCCTCAGCTTGACCCTCAGCTTGATCCTCAGCTTGATCTTCAGCTTGATCTTCAGCCTGCTTGATCTTTAGCCAACTTGAGCTCCAGCTTGATCTCTAGCTTGATCTCTAGCTTGATCTCCAGTTTGATCTCCAGCTTGATCTCTAGCTTGATCTCTAGCTTGATCTCCAGCTTGATCTCCAGCTTGATCTCTAGCTTGATCTCTAGCTTGATCTCTAGCTTGATCTCCAGCTTGATCTCCAGCTTGATCTCTAGCTTGATCCTAGCTTGATCTCTAGCTGATCTCCAGTGATCTCTAGCTTGATCTCCAGCTTGATCTCCAGCTTGATCTCTAGCTTGATCTCCAGCTTGATCTCCAGCTTGATCTCCAGCTTGATCTCCAGCTTGATCTCTAGCTTGATCTCCAGCTTGATCTCCAGCTTGATCTCTAGCTTGATCTCCAGCTTGATCTCCAGCTTGATCTCCAGCTTGATCTCTAGCTTGATCTCCAGCTTGATCTCTAGCTTGATCTTCAGCCTACTTGACCTAGACCTATTCTAGAACTGATTACTGACCATTGAAAGTCTTGCACCACTGCAACGAGTCATGTCTCTTGTGCGCACACGCATCCTCTTCCCAATTCGTTGCTTTTCCTTTCGGCGAGATGACATTGATTCCAGTGCCTCCATTTCCATCACCTCTTGAAACAGAGAGCGATCGCTGAGATCGAACGGCTGATTTCGAGCGTGATCCTTAATCATTTCGTTGTTTAGGCTTAGTTAAGGATTGCTTTTCCTAAGGATTGCCTTCCTTAGGATAGCCTTTCCTAAGGATAGCCTTTCCTAAGGATAGCCTTTCCTAAGGATAGCCTTTCCTAAGGACTGCCTCTTGATCTTCCCTTCCAATTCCCTACTGACTTTGATCCCTCCGATTCGGACTTCTTCTTCTGCCGGGCAATTGTGCGTATCGCATTTCAGTTGGTAATGGTGGAGCTTGACAAGCGGCTAGATGAGGAGCCCCGTCAGAGAAGAGTTCTTTCAATCTGAGAACAATCTGAGATACATTTAAGATACAATTTACCGATTATGCGAGACATCGAGTGATCGTAGATGCGCAGGAATGCATTGGATTGGAGTGAGTTGAGTGAGGAGATTGAATGAGAGGTTGAGTGAAAGGAGACGAGGACAGACACACGCCAGACAGGAGGGGAAGACGGAGAGCTGAAAAGATCATTTTAACATCATTTTGACATCATTTTAGCATCATTTTGGCCTGATTTTAAATAATTTTCCCAAAAAGGAATCGAACTCGAGCAAAAGAGAGTCTCGCTCGTTTTGTATGCGAGTCTCTTAACCACTACACCACCAGGTCACCCTAGCGACCGGCGAGAAAACCGTTATAAAGGCGTTGGCTCAAAATTTTGCATTTTTTTTCTGAAACTTTGAAGACGTATAACTTTTGATAGAAAACGATTTGACAAAAACGGAAAACAGATTCGGAATCAGTGGAAAATTCTGATTTAGAGACTCTAACTTTTGCTTAAAAATCTAGCCTTAATCAACTCTATTTTTTTCTTAAAGTTTGTGCTGATTTTTTTTGACTTTGAAGACGTATAACTTTTGATAGAAATCGATTTAACAAAAACAAAAAACAGATTCGGAATCAGCGAAAGATTCTGCATTGGATGGTTAATGGGTTTTCTTATTTGGTCAATCCCTCCTATCAATTTCCCCATGTCAAAGTCATCCCACTCAACTCAGAGATTGTGGGAGCTAAAGCTGGAGTTAAAGCCTGCTTTAGCAAGTACTTTGTGCTACAAACAACACCCTTTCTGGCATACCGTATTCGCTTGAAGATTTTAAAGAAATTTAAAGCCTTTTAAAGAAAAGCCCCCTCAATTTCAGCAAAGAAAATTTCATTTTTTTAAATTTTTTTTACTCAACTTTAAATGTCGATAACTTTTGATAGAAAACGATTTGACAAAAACGGAAAACAGATTCGAAATCAGCGAAAGATTCTGCATTGGATGGTTAATGGGTTTTCTTATTTGGTCAATTCCTACTATCACTTTTCACTTGTCGAAGTCATCCTGAGCTTGTGGGAGCTAAAGCTGGACTAAAGCCTATTTAACAAATAGCAAGTAACAAGTTTAACGTGTACTTTTTACTAGAAACAACACCCTTTCTAGCACAACCTTATTCGCTTGAAGATTCAACGTTGTTAAAGTGCCCGACGAGGAGATCGGCACATCCGATGGTTCCTCTTCGACTTTGCATAAAGGGATCTAAAGTTAGATGAGTCTAGATGAGTCTAGATGAGTCTAGATGAGTCTAGATGAGTCTAGCTGACTCTAGCTGACTCTAGCTGAGTCTAGATATCTTATTTTATCCTTTTCTAACTCCTCTCACCTCTCCCATCCAAATATTCGCTCTTCTCAGCTCTAATCGCTCTCCTTGTTGTGTGGCTTCATCGAGCTCTGTCCCAGCAACGAAACCATCAGAGATTTGACCTGTAAACCCTCTCCTTATCTTTCCTATTTCCTAAGCAAGCACTGATAGCTCAGTGGTAAAGCATGTGGTAAGCTGAAGGTAAGCAAAAGATCAAGAGTTCAATTCCCCTTCGTTTCAAACCTTTTGCCAAATGCTAAATGATTCCTTTATTATATAGCTATTGAACCATAGAGAGATAAGTTAGACATTACAAAGCTAGATCTGGATCTAGATCTAGATCTGGATGTAGATCTGGGTCTAGATCTAGATCTGGATGTAGATCTGGATCTAGATCTAGATTAAGATCTGGATCCAGATCTAGATAACTAACTAGAAGCTAAGTCTAGATCTGGATCTAGACTTAGCTTCTAGTTAGTTAGCTTTTGTAGGTTTTCTGCAGTCAACCAGGGAAACAGGGAAACAAGGCTAGAAGCCAGACTAGAGATTGATTCTGAACTGGCTTGGCTTGGCTAGCTTGGCTAGCTTGGCTGGCTGGCTAGCTTGGCTAGCTTGGCTAGCTTGGCTGGCTTGGCTGGCTTGGCTGGCTTGGCTGGCTTGGCTGGCTTGGCTGGCTTGGCTGGCTTGGCTGGCTTGGCTGGCTTGGCTGGCTTGGCTGGCTTGGCTGGCTTGGCTGGCTTGGCTGGCTTGGCTGGCTTGGCTGGTTGGCTGGTTGGCTGGTTGGCTGGCTTGGCTGGCTTGGCTGGCTTGGCTGGCTTGGCTGGCTGGCTGGCTTGGCTGGCTTGGCTGGCTTGGCTGGCTGGCTAGCTTGGCTGGCTGGCTAGCTTGGCTGGCTGGCTAGCTTGGTCTACTCACCAACGTTTGCCGTTCTTGACAGTCTTGTCCGATTGTTGAGGGATGGAAGAGCTGTTAGAGAGTTGTGAGCGACGTTGAGTTCCTAGAAAGTTTGAGATAAGAAAAGAGCTTGAGAGCTTTGCTAGAGCTTTGCTAGAAGAGCTGCTAGAGCTGCTAGAGCCTTGAGAGAGCTTTATAGAGCTTTAGCTTGATTACTTTGAGCGCTGGAGAGAGCCAGATGTACTCAGGTAGATGAGTGATTCGATTGTGAGAAAGATCGAGATTGGTTAAAGCTGGAAGAGCGGCAAGGAGCTGGAAATGGAAGATTGAGAGCTGTTTCTATAAATATTTAGATTCACTTGTGATGAAAGAGCTTCAATTTTATTATTTGATAGGATTAGGATCTCGATTGAATGCGATGAAGTCGCGTATGATGGAGGTTCGATCTAAAATCGCTTTATCGCTTTCAAAATCAAACTTTAAACTGTAAACTACTGTTTTAAGTTGATTTTGTGAAAGGTTGAGTGAACGCAGGGAAACCATTTGCATTAGAACAGACGGGAAAACGGTGAGGCGATTGCAAGAGAGATCGACTCGAGTGATCGCTGCTAGAGCAAGTCTGAAAAGATCAATCAAATCAAGAGCTGTTGCTCAACAGAGCCGTTGTACAGCTTGTTACTCAGCTGTTGTACAGCTTGTTCCTCAACAGAGCCGTTGTACAAGAGCTTGTTACTCAGCTGTTGTCCAAGAGCTTGTTACAAGTACAAAAGCTGTGCACAAAATGTTTTCCTAAATCTCTTAAACGTAAGACGTAAGACTCATTGCTGTAGTTGACGTTTTAGGGGAAAGATTCAAAAAGGATTTGGGCTTAGAGCTAGTTCTGTCAGCCGGATTCTTTGGTTCCTTGGAGCTTCTAGGTTTGGCTTAGAAGCCTGGCCAAAGCCTGGCCTCAAGCCTAGCCCATAAGTCTAGCCGGCTTGTAGAGCCCCTAAGCCTAGCCCATAAGCCTAGCTGGCTTGTAGGCCCCTAAGCCTAGCCTATAAATCTAGCCTACAAGCCTGGTCAAAGCCTGGACAAAGCCTGGTCAAAGCCTGGACAAAGCCTGGTCAAAGCCTGGCCAAAGCCTGGTCAAAGCCTGGACAAAGCCTGGACAAAGCCTGGTCAAAGCCTGGTCAAAGCCTGGACAAAGCCTGGCCAAAGCCTGGACAAAGCCTGGTCAAAGCCTGGACAAAGCCTGGTCAAAGCCTGGCCTCAAACCTGGCCTCAAGCCTAGCCTACAAGCCTGGCCTCAAGCCTAGCCTACAAGCCTGGCCTCAAGCCTAGCCTACAAGCCTGGCCTCAAGCCTAGCCTACAAGCCTGGCCTCAAGCCTAGCCTACAAGCCTGGCCTCAAGCCTAGCCTACAAGCCTGGCCTCAAGCCTAGCCTACAAGCCTGGCCTCAAGCCTAGCCTACAAGCCTAGCCTACAACCCTGGCTACAAAACCCAGCTGTTTAAAATCCCTGCCTCAACTTGCCTTGTCGTTTTGAGTCTCGGATTTACATGCAATGCGGCGGCGACAAACCAATCCGGTAACACGGCTGCTAGTGAAGCTGAAGCCCAAGATAACGAGGCGCCTTTTGATGGACAAAGTGATGACGGCAGAAGGGATTCACCCACACGAACCTGAGATTTCAGAGATGTCGAAAAACTGATTCCCTTTGATTATACTGACCGGTTAGCAAGGCTTACTGTAGGCTTAGCCAGCAAGGATTACTGTGGTTCAAGGCTAGCTGCAGCCTGGTTGCAGACTTCTAGGCTTGGTTAGCTTTCAGGCTTTCTCTAAAGACTACAGTAGCTAGGGGGTTACTGTAGCTTTCTAGACTTACAGGCTTCTAGAGGCTTTCTAGACTTTCTAGCTTTGTTGGTAGACTGAAAGGCTACTCAAAAGGGTAATTTACAATATCTTTTTCCTTATTAAATCAGTCAGTATAATAAAAAGTATTCAAAAAAAAGTTCAACAAAAAATTTGGGGAAATTTTAGAAAGGAAGAAGTCTTTTAAAGAAGAAATTTCCGGTTAATCTTTGACCAAATGGATCACTTACCAGCCCAGAAATATGTGCACTCTAAAAGAGAAAAGCTAGAGGTGAAAATGAGTTGAAAACTTTTTCGAACACATCGGATAGGCGGATACCGTAGCTCAGTTAGTAGTCGTCTACTGACGGACAGTAGACGTCTACTGACGGATACCGTAACCAATCAATAGACTCTATAAAGTCTGATGGATACAGTAGCCCGTCAGTAGACTCTATGAAGTCTGACGGATACCGTAACCCGTCAATAGACTCTATAAAGTCTGACGGATACCGTAACCCGTCAATAGACTCTATAAAGTCTGATGGATACCGTAACCCATCAATAGCCGTCTATTAACGGATACCGTAACCCGTCAATAGACTCTTTAAAGTCTGATGGCTACCGTAACCCAGTTAGTAGACGTCCACTGCCTGGGCTACGGTATCCGCCTACAGTAACCCATCAATAGACTCTATAAAATCTGACGGATACCGTAACCCATCAATAGACCTTTAAAGTCTGCCGGATACCGTAGCCCGTCAGTAGATGAGTAGTAGGTGCTACAGTAAGACTAACTTCTTGTAAAGGTTACTGTAACCAGTTAAATCGTAGGAAATAGAGTTAAGAAATCGAAGATATAGCTAGAAAAGAGATCTAGACGGGTTTACGGTATTAGATAGTTTACCTGGTTCAGAAAAAGTTTGCTATTATATACAATCATTACTCTAACAGTACTCTAACAGTACTCTAACAGTGCTCTAACAGTACTCTAACAGTACTCTAACAGTACTCTAACAGTACAGCACTAATCACATCATCTATGAAAATTCCCGTTCTCTTTTACCTGTCCAACATCGACATTTCTTTTGTTCACTTTGTACTCGACATCGGCGTGAGCGAGACGACAAAGAAGAACGCGAACGATTTTCTCGTTGTTTGTCTAGAGATTTAAGATTCACATATGTTTCGAATAAAGGCATTCCACTGTGAAAAGTGATGGCTAAATTCAAGTTTACAATTTAGCCACAATTTAGGCTTAAAATCTACTTCCTTTCCCTTAGTTGACTGCAAATTTCAGCCTTATAATGCTTTGTAGAGCTTTGTAGAGCTTTAGAGAGCTTTGTAGAGCTTTGTAGAGCTTTAGAGAGCTTTGTAGAGCTTTAGAGAGCTCTGTAAAGCTTTCTAGAGCTTTGTAGAGCTTTGTAGAGCTTTCTAGAGCTTTGTAGAGCTCTGTAAAGCTTTCTAGAGCTTTGTAGAGCTTTGTAGAGCTTTCTAGAGCTTTGTAGAGCTCTGTAAAGCTTTCTAGAGCTTTGCAGAGCTCTGTAAAGCTTTGTAGAGCCTAGTAAAGCTTTGTAGAGCTTTGTAGAGCCTAGTAAAGCTTTGTAGAGCCTAGTAAAGCTTTGTAAAGCTTTGTAGAGCCTAGTAAAGCTTTGTAGAGCCTAGTAAAGCTTTGTTGAGCCTAGTAAAGCTTTGTAGAGCTTTGTAAAGCTTTGTAGAGCCTAGTAAAGCTTTGTAGAGCTCTAAAAAGCCTTTTAAAGCTTTAAAAACCTTTAAAAAGCTTTTTAGAGCGAAAACCGTCCTTTCAAACCGTTTCAAACACTTTTTCTACGCTTTTCAAGCAAATGAAAGACAAATTGAAAAGAAATGAATCAATTTTAAAGTCCGAATCATCAGTTTTCAGAGTTATCGATCCAAAAAATGGACCTGAGCCGCGATGGAAAGCGCTCGATTGTCCGTGTCGACAGCGCCATTTTGAAGTAAAAGTTGCACAACGTGAAGGCCGCCCGAACGAGCCGCTTCAGCTAGAGCGCCCGAGCCAACACAACGAGCGGACTCCTAAAGAAAAGTAGTTTTTAAAAGGCGATTTTAACTTAAAAAATACTGAATTTGAGGTATTTTTTGATAAAAAAACGAAAATTTTAGCTTAAACAAGTGCCAAGAAAAACGCGTTTTGCGTTTTGAAATTGCGTAGTCTAGCGTTGCATAATGCTACGCAATGCTAATGCTAATGCATAATGCTACAAAAGCTAGACTACGCAATGCTCCAAATTGTAGAATGCGTTTTTTTAATGTAATTTCTTTTAAAATATACCATTTAACGTTGAATTTTGTAGATTTTATAAAGAAAACAGAGAAGTAAGGAGGAAGGGGAAGAAGGGGAAGAAGAGGAAGAAGGGGAAGAAGGGGAAGAAGGGGAAGAAGGGGAGGAAGAGGAAGAAGGGGAAGAAGGGGAAGAAGGGGAAGAAGGGGAAGAAGGGGAAGAAGGGAAAAGGGGAAGAAGGGGAATCCAGCTTGATCCAGAGAAAGAGGAAAAAAATCGTTTTTCTGACGCTTTTCACTAAAACCTTTATAAAATCTTTAACTTATAACTTTTAAAAAAACTATATTTTTGTTGACTTTGACTTTTACTTTTGACTTTTACACCAAAATAATTACAAGAAGATGTCAAAGAAAAAGGAAAAAGGAAGAAAGAAAGTAAGGAGGAAAGGAAGGAAGAAAGGAAGGAAAGAAGGAAGGAAGGAAGCAAGGAAAATGCAGAGAGGAAGACCCGAAGAAGGGAAGAAAGGAAGAAAGGAAGTAAGGAAGTAAGGAAGTAAGGAAGTAAGGAAGTAAGGAAGTAAGGAGGAAAGAAAGGAAGTAAGGAAGAAAGGAAGTATGGAAGAGAGGAAGTAAGGAAGAAAGGCAGTAAGGAAGTAAGGAAGAGAGGAAGTAAGGAAGATAGGAAGTAGGGAAGGAAGTAAGGAAGGAAGTAAGGAAGGAGGTAAGGAAGAAAGGTAGTAAGAAAGAAAGGAAGAAAGGAAGTCAGGAAGTAAGGAAGTGAGGAAGTAAGGAAGGAAGTAAGGAAGGAAGGAAGTAAGGAAGGTAGTAAGGAAGAAAGGAAGTAAGGAAGAAAGGAAGTAAGGAAGAAAGGAAGTAAGGAAGAAAGGCAGTAAGGAAGTGAGGAAGAGAGGAAGTAAGGAAGAAAGGAAGTAAGAAATAAACAGAATTTTTTTTGTTAATAACTATTTTTTAAGAATCATTCTTTCAAATTTTATTCTTTTTGGAAAAATTTGAAAAACCTATTATTTTTGCAGTGAATTGAATTTTTTAATGAAATTACTTTTTCGAATAGGGGGATAGGCGGATACCGTATCCCAGTCAGGAGACGTCTATTGACTGATACTGTAACCCACCAATAGACTCTATAAAGTCCGACGGATACCATAACCCATTAGTAGACCTTTGAAGTCTGATAGATACCGTAACCCATCAATAGACGTCTATTAACGGATACAGTAACCCGTCAGACGTCTATTGACTGATACTGGAAGCAGTCAGACGTCTATTAACGGACTGTAACCCATCAGACGTCTATTAATGGATACCGTAACCCATCAGACGTCTGTTAACGGACCGTAACCCATCAGACGTCTATTAATGGATACCGTAACCCATCAGACGTCTATTAACGGACTGTAACCCATCAGACGTCTATTAATGGATACCGTAACCCATCAGACGTCTATTAATGGATACCGTAACCCACCAGTAGACCTTTAAAGCCTTCTACATCTATTTGTTTTAAATGAAATTAGATAAAGGAAACAAGCTTGAAAGAAGAATTTTGAGAATTTTAAACGGAAAAGATAATTTTCTTTTCTGGAAGAGTAAAGATGGAAGAGTGAGAAGGCTTTATTTGATTATAAATTCAATGGTTTAAAGCTCAATGGACTTGGATCTCAATGGATCATTTGAATTGCTCGCCTCTCCACTCACCAAGCTCTGCTCACTGTCCTCGAGCACTCCAAGCGGCAGATTCACATCGGCGTCATGTTGTAGCAAGAGTCTGAACAAGTAAAGATCGATAAAAGTTTTGAAAATGAGTTGCAAAAGAAGGATTTTGTTTTGTAATTTGTAAAATTGATTTAAACTTACTTATTTCGTTTAAAGTTAAACCATTTTTGCATTTAATTTTATAGAAATTGATTGGATGGAAAAAGAAATTTATAGAAAATTAAATAAATAATAAGTAATGAAATTAATCTTCTGAAAACATTCAATCACTGTTCAAAAGGGAAAAATGCCAACAACAGTGAATCAATAGAGGAAAGAGGGAAGGGGAAGGAGAGGAAGAGGAAAGGGGAAAGGGGGGAGGGGAAGGGGAAGAAGAGGAAGAAGGGGAAAGAGGGAAGGGGAAGGAGAGGAAGAGGAAAGGGGAAAGGGGGGAGGGGAAGGGGAAGAAGAGGAAGAAGGGGAAAGAGGGAAGGGGAAGGAGAGGAAGAGGAAAGGGGAAAGGGGGGAGGGGAAGGGGAAGAAGAGGAAGAAGGGGAAAGAGGGGAAGGGGAAGGAGAGGAAGAGGAAAGGGGAAAGGGGGGAGGGGAAGGGGAAGAAGAGGAAGAAGGGGAAGGAGAGGAAGGAGAGGAAGGAGAGGAAGAGGAAAGGGGGAAGGGGGAAGGGGAAGGGGAAGAAGAGGAAGAAGGGGAAGGAGAGGAAGGAGAGGAAGGAGATGAAGAGGAAAGGGGGAAGGGGGAAGGGGAAGGGGAAGAAGAGGAAGAAGGGGAAGAAGGGGAAGGAGAGGAAGGAGAGGAAGGAGGGGAAGGAGAGGAAGAGGAAAGGGGGAAGGGGAAGGGGAAGAAGAGGAAGAGGGGGAAGAAGGGGAAGGGGAAGAAGAGGAAGAAGGGAAAAGGGGAGTGAATTGGAATCCAGCTTGATCAGTGACTAGTTTTCATCTAAAAACCCAATCGTTTTAAACAGCTGAACACCTTTTTCTAGCCAAACTTTTCCCCTGTTCAAGCTGTCGTCATAGCTCAGTCGGGAGCACTCTCGTCTACAACCCACAGGGTCCAGGTTCGAACCCTGTCACCACCACTCAATCTTCTTTTTTGATTTTTTTGAGTTCAAGAAAGAAACTTTATTAGATTTTAAGACTTTTTGACTGAAAAACGGCTTAGAAAAGGTCAGTCTAGAGGCTTGTAAAAAGAGAAAAAGAGAGAAGAGAGAAGAGAAAAGAGAAAAAGCTTTATTTTATCTAGTTAATGTTGAGTAATGTTTTCGAATAGCTCAGCATTGGTAAATGCTGAGATATTCGAGCAATTGCTTAGCAAGAAATGCCTTTTACTTACTTTACTTGCCTTTTACTTGCCAAAGTAATTAAAGAATTGAACTAGGAAGTAAAACTAAGACTAATGAATGGAAGATGAATGGGAATTGCTTGGGATTGACTATCTTAGACTGGTTTAATTAGAGAGAGGATTACTGTAGCTTTCAAAGGCTACTGTAGCTTTCAAGGACTACTGTAGCTATCAAGGATTACTGTAGCTTTCAGGGACTACTGTAGCTTTCAAGGACTACTGTAGCTATCAAGGACTACTCTAGCTATCAAGGACTACTGTAGCTATCAAGGACTACTGTAGCTTTCAAGGAGGACTGTAGCTCTTAAAGCTTACTGTAGCTTCCAAGGGCTACTGTAGCTTTGAGACTTATCGTTTATAGAATTAATGAAACGCACTGAATGAGTCCAACACTCTGATTGAAAGCAGCGATCATCAAAGGAGTTCTGCCACGGATACAGTAGACATCCACCTGGAAACATTTCGAGTTGAGGTTTTGTATGAGGTTACGTTTCTATGAGGTTACGGTAGATTAGGATAGCTGCATTATGGTAGTTTTATAGAGAAACTTTTAGAAAACCCAAGATTTAGCTGACACACCAGGATAAAGCCAGCTTTAGATTACGATTACGGTAGATTACGATTACAGTAAGATTACGATAGCTAGGCTACGGTAGCTAGACTATGGTAGCTAGACTATAGTAGCTAGACTACGGTAGCTAGACTACGATAGCTAGACTATAGTAGCTAGATTACGGTAGCTAGACTACTACGGTACGACTACAGATTACGGTAGCTAGTTTATGGCAGCCGGATTACGGTAGCCATACTACAATAGCTAGACTACAATAGCTAGACTACAATAGCTAGACTACAATAGCTAGGCTACGATAGCTAGTTTATGGTAACTAGACTGTAGTGGCTAGACTACGGTAGCGACTACGGTACGACTACATATTACGTTAGCTAGTTTATGGTAGCCGGATTACGGTAGCTAGACGACAATAGCTAGACTACGGTAGCTAGTCTACGATCTCTAAGATCTATCGAACGATCTCCGACCTGAAAAGGGCATCCGATTGTGCCATCAGTGAACTCGACTTGATACTGAATCTCAAATTCGCATAAATCAATGATCTTTGCAAACTTGTAGCAAGAACTCGGACATCTCTTGATGGCCATCGACGACCGCCGTGTAAAGAGCCGTTCGACATTGGCCATCCATTGCATTCGCATCAACCATGAAGCTAGAAATGAGCTGGTAATTGAGAGAGTGCTTTGAATCGAAGAGTTTTCTTTTGTTTTCTGTTTTGCTTCTTGTAAACACACGAAATCTAGTGCACTGAGCTCTTGAGATTAAATCGAGAAAGGCTGCGTTGATTTTATAAAAGCAAAGAATGTTTCTGAAATGAATTCTCACCGATATTTGTTCCCTTTGTTATTCTCGATGATTTTTGTGTACTTTTTGTCGAGTGGAAACTCGAAGAGGCTGAAAGGAAAGGATTGATTGATTGATTGATTGATTTTAAGGCTTAGGCTTTGGCTTAGGCTCAGGCTTAGGCTCAGGCTTAGGCTCAGGCTCAGGCTTAGGCTTAGGCTTAGGCTTAGGGCTTAGGCTCAGGCTTAGGCTTAGGCTTAGGCCTAGGGCTTAGGCTCAGGCTTAGGCTCAGGCTTAGGCTCAGGCTCAGGCTTAGGCTTAGGCTTAGGCTTAGGGCTTAGGCTCAGGCTTAGGCTTAGGCTTAGGCCTAGGGCTTAGGCTCAGGCTTAGGCTTAGGCCTAGGGCTTAGGCTTAGGCTCAGGCTTAGGCTTAGGCTTAGGCTCAGGCTCAGGCTTAGGCTTAGGCTTAGGCTTAGGCTTAGGCTTAGGCTTAGGCCTAGGGCTTAGGCTCAGGCTCAGGCTTAGGCTCAGGCTCAGGCTCAGGCTCAGATTCAAGCCCAGCAAAGCTCCGCAAAGCTCAGTAAAGCTCAGCAAAGCTCATCAAACCATTTCGCAATGTTGACATCTCCAGTGTGAGCGATCCAGTGAAGCACCGAGCTCCCATCCGCGTTCACCTCACCAATTAGATCAGGGAAATTCTAGAAAAAGCTTTTTAACAATAAGTTTATTGTGCTCACTAATAGCACAAGTCTCAGCAAATCGACGTTTCTGCCAGCGATCGCCGCATGAACAACTGTATCCTTTGTGATTGAGTGAACAATTGTGTGCTTATCTAAAAGATTTCCTAAAGATTTCTAGATTGGAAGAAGAGGAAAGAAAGAAAGGAAGAAAGGAAGGAAGGAAGGAGAAAAAAACTTTCTTCACAAACCTTTCCATTCCAATAGCTTTTTCACGATCTCAAAGCGACCATTTTGACAAGCTCTATAAAATAGAATATAAAATGAGTGTTCTAGAGAAGATGCGTTTAGTAAAAGTACTTACACAAAAAGTACAAGTTGATCCTCGGCCTCTCGTCCATTAAAGAAAGAGTCTAAATGACGGGTTGGACATCCAGCAATCACTGAGGTTACCTAAAAATTGACGTCAAAGCTTTTAAGTACTTTACAGTAACTGTACTGTAACTAGTACTGTGCTGTAACTAGTACCTTACAGTAACTAGTACTGTACTGTAACTAGTATTGTACTGTCACTAGTACTGTACTGTAGCTTGTACTGGACTGTAACTAGTACTAGGCTATAACTAGTACTGGACAATAACTAGTACTAGGCTGTAACTAGTACTGTACCGTAACTAGTACTAGGCTGTAACTAGTACTGTACTGTAACTATCCTGTAACTAGTTTAGTCAAAAAAACTGGACAGCCCACTTTCTCGAGATCTCCATGAATACACGCCCTGAACAACTCCTCCCGATCTTTCATCAGCTTCTCGTTTTCGCTTTCTAAAACAAATTTTAGCAAAGATTAGCGAGATTTAATTGGTTAAAAACTTAAAGAAAAGAAAACTGGAAATCCAGGAGGCTTTAAAGATCCAAAGCAATCATAGAGCTAGCTCTATATCCTATAAATGATCAAAATCGCTTCACTTACGAATTGCATGAATGAGGAGTTGAGTGAGATGATCGTGTCCAGCCATTTGCGCTGATTCAAGAGCACAATGCGCAGAGGAATCCCGAAGCGATGGATCGGCGCCAGCTTCGAGAAGAATGCTCGCGCTTTCAGCCTGCAAATTGATAGAAGTGGGAATGGAGGGGGAAAACGCTTGGAATTTGCATTATGGAAGAGTTTAAGCCAAGATTTAACCCTAGACATGAGTTTTGTCGCTTGTTCTTTGCGCTAAGACGTAAACTAAATCGATCTGGCACCCCGAATTCCTCATTTTTCTCGGTATAGTAGAAAAAATTGGGGTTTCCGTGTGCCAGATCGATTTAGTTTACGTTGGAGAGCAAAGAGCAAACGAATAAACCCATGTCTAGATGAAGCTAGATGCAGAGCCGGGGATTGAACCCTTGACCTTCCGACTATGATACAGGGCTCTTAGCCAGTCGGCCATAGTGACCAGGGTGTGCGAGGAGAAAAAATGAGTTAAATAGATGAAACCTGAGCCTCTCAGGTGCAGAGCCGGGGATCGAACCCTTGACCTTCCGACTATGATACAAGGCTCTTAGCCAGTCGGCCATAGTGACCAGGGTGTGCGAGGAGAAAAAATGAGTTAAATAGATGAAACCTGAGCCTCTCAGGTGCAGAGCCGGGGATCGAACCCTTGACCTTCCGACTATGATACTGGGCTCTTAGCCAGTCGGCCATGAGGACCACGAACGTCATGGAGAAAAAATGAGTTAAATAGATGAAACCTGAGCCGCTTCAGTGGCTAGATGAAGAGCCGTCTTTCCTCCACCACCTTGTGCATCTAGGGCATCTAAAGCGAAGAACATTATGTCTTGTTGGCCAATTGGTAGTATGCTTGAATCCAAAGCGATCAGCTTTATCAAGGTCAGGTTCGACTCCAGCATTTGTCTTTTGATTTTGTTTTAGCTTTAAATACTTTGTTTTGTTGTCAGGGATGTTGAATGGTGATTATCGGCAGTGTGCCAGTCGCTGTACGATTGTGTACGATGCGAGACGCTGTACGATTGTACGAAGAATAGAAAAAGGATTTAAAGCTAGAGCTAAAGAAGGAAGAGGGTTAAGGAAGTCAAGAAGGGAAGAAGGGAAGAAGGGAAGAAGGGAAGGAAGTCAAGAAAGCCGTCAAGTCATGCTCCAGCCAATCAAGACTGGCTGGAGCATTAGACTCGAACTTTATTAGCTCATTGCTTTGTTACTTTGCCACGGTTTACAATAGATTTCAATCTCTCTTTCCTCAACAAACCGGGTGCAAAAGCGATCAATTCTTGAAGTGCTTTCGTTCGTCCATTGTGCGCAGCTAGCATCAACAAATTCCTGCCATGTTTATCGACTTTTCTGATCGACCATGGGTTTTCTTTGAGCAGATCACTCAATAGTTCGGTGTTCTCGAAAAGTACCGCCTGGAAAGCTTGGATTTGTATTATTCTTTTCAATTTTAGTTCTATATCTCTTTATTTCTTTGTTTTTTTTTTGTTCTAGAAAAGAAAATCAATCGTTAAAGGCATTTAAAACTAAAAGAAAGCCGATTCTCAGCCCTAAACACAAAGAAACTCAACCAAACTCAACCCTAGCCTCAACCAAACTCAACCAAACCCAACCTAACCTCAACAACCCAATCTCAACCCCCAAACTCAACAAACCAACCCTAGCCTCAACCAAACCCATCCAAACCCAACCAAATCCAACCCTAGCCTCAACCAAACCCATCCAAACCCAACCAAACGCAACCATAGCCTCAACCAAACCCATCCAAACCCAACCAAATCCAACCCTAGCCTCAACCAAACCCATCCAAACCCATCCAAACCCAACCCTAGCCTCAACCAAACCCATCCAAACCCAACCAAATCCAACCCTAGCCTCAACCAAACCCATCCAAACCCATCCAAGCCCAACCAAACCCAACCAAACCCAACCCTAGCCTCAACCAAACCCATCCAAACCCAACCAAACCAACCTAGCCTCAACCAAACCCATCCAAACCCATCCAAGCCCAACCAAACCCAACCAAACCCAACCCTAGCCTCAACCAAACCCATCCAAACCCAACCAAACCCAACCAAACCCAACCCTAGCCTCAACCAAACCCATCCAAACCCAACCAAACTCAACCCTAACCTCAACCAAACCCAACCAAACCCATCCAAACCCAACCAAACCCAACCCTAACCTCAAACAAACCCAATTCTCAACCCTAAACCCAACCAAACCCAACCCTAACCTCAAACAAACCCAATTCTCAACCCTAAAATCAAACAAACCCAACCCTAGCCTCAACCAAACCAAACCCAACCAAACTCAACCCAACCCTAAACCCATTTCTCACCTGTCTAATCATTTGCATCATTTCTGTGTCGTCCATCTCGTTTTTCTCCATTCTTTTCTTGTTTTTGTCGGAGATTTTGATCAATTTTATTTCAATATCGATGATTTGAAGCGAATTTTTGATCAATTACATCACTTTTTTTGACGAGAAATTGATTTTGACGAAATTCAATCTAAAAGATTAACTTTTGATAAATCTAATCTAAAAGAAGATCTAATAAACTTTTGATAAATGTTTCTTTTAAAAATCAAAAAAATAAACAAATTGCCAATCAAAATCAAGAAAACAAACAAACTGTCAATCAAAAATAAACAAAAAAACAAACAAACAAACAAACAAACAAACTGTCGAACAAAATAACGAAAAGATGAGCTTTTTCAAAAGCGAAACTGCTTTGCATAGAGCTTAGGCTTAGGCTTAGGCTTGAGCTTAGGCTTGGCTTCGCTTCGCTTGGCTTCGCTTCGCTTGGCTTCGCTTGGCTTCGCTTGGCTTCGCTTGGCTTTGCTTCGCTTCGCTTGCCTTAGGCTTACAATTAAAAACGTTTAAAAGAAAGAAAGAAAGGATTAAAAAGATTATGAGATGATTATCGGTTAATCGAATTTTAGAGAAAATCTTGATCAACCAATAGACTCCAAATTGGAGCGATGCCATGAGAGAAAACGTGACGCGTGGGGGATGCGTTGAGGAGGGAAAGGCTGAAGAGGCCGTTAGCTGTCCGAGGCTTCTTTTAACTCTCATTTTTAACTTCTTTCCTTTCCTTGAAACCTATTTACTTCACCATCATCTCTAGCTTTCGTTTGCACAAAGAAAAGGAAGAAAAGGAAGAAATAGAAAGAAAAGGAAGAAAAGGAAGAAAAAAGGAAGAAAAGAAAGAAAAGGAAGAATAAGGAAGAATAGGAAGAATAGGAAGAAACTTTCAAGCAATAATAGGAGACGACAGAAGCTGAGCTACTGATCTAGTTCAGGATAAAAATGGGGTTAAAGGGGTTTGAATTAAATCCAGAGGTTCAGGCTTAGGCTCTGGTTCAGGTTGAGGTCCAGGTTTAGGTTCAGGTTCAGGTTCAGGTTCTGGTTCTGGTTCAGGCTTAGGCTCTGGTTCAGGTTCAGGTTCGGGTTCAGGCTCAGGCTTAGGTTCAGGTTCAAGTTCTGGCCTAGGTACAGGCTCTGGTTCAGGTTCAGGTTCAGGTTCAGGCTCAGGCTTAGGTTCAGGTTCAGGTTCAGGTCCAGGCCCAGATTCAGGTCTAGGTCCAGACTCAGGTCTAAGCCTAGATTCAGGTCCAGATCCAGACTCAGGTCCAGGCCCAGATTTAGGTCTAGGTCCAGGCTTAGGTCTAAGCCCAGATTCAGGTTCAGGTTCAGGTTCAAGTCCAGGCCCAGGTTCAGGTTCAGGTTCAGGCTTACTTTCAAGTTCAGGTACAGGCCCAGGTACAGGCTCAGACTCAAGTTCAGGTTCAGGTTCAGGCCCAGGTACAGGCCCAGGTACAGACTCAGGTTCAGGCTTAAGCTCAGGCTCAGGTTCAGGCTCAGATTCAGGCTCAGGATTTTGGGCCAAGACCTAGATGTGCTAGGTCTTGGGCCTAAACCGAAATGTAAATCCAAAAGCATCCCTATTTAGGTCCTACCTACCATTTCCTGAAATCTCATCCGTCGAATGAAACGATCAAGCGATTTCATTTCTTTAAATAGTTCTCACCAGTACATTCCTCGCGCAGTCTCCATCGGTTTTCCTTTTCAGCAAACAAGAATGAATCAATTTTGGTCTCATTTAATCCAATTTTGGTTAAAAGCCCAATCTTTCGCTTTAGCTCTTTCCCTTTAGCTCTTTCCCTTTAGCTCTTTCCCTTTAGCTCTTTCCCTTGAGCTCTTTCCCTTTAGCTCTTTCCCTTGAGCTCTTTCCCTTTAGCTCTTTCCCTTTAGCTCTTTCCCTTTAGCTTTTCCCGCATTCTCCATTCAGATTCCCTTTCCAGAAGCTTTACAGAGATGACAGTGAATTTCAAGCGGCAGTTTCTTTTCTCCATGATTGTGAAATTGTTCACTAGGGTTTTGAAGGCCTTGTTGGCAAGGGGATTTCAATGGGAAGAGGGAAAAGCTGAGGGAAAAGCTGAAAGAAAAGCTGAAGGAATCCAGTTACCCCATTCCCATTGAAATCCCCTTTTCATCGCCTGGCTTCCAACGGTCCCGTGGTGTAGCGGTTAGCACTCAGGACTCTGAATCCTGCGACGGGAGTTCAAATCTCCCCGGGACCTTTCTGTTTTTGATTTTTCAAGGTTTAAGCGAATTTTTGCTTTACTGCAAAAGCTTTGGATATTTGAGGGATTTGAGGTTTAGGATTTTTCGATTTAACGAGCTACGGTGACGGTGGTTGCTCTACGGTGATAGTTGTTCGGATCTTTGTGAAGTGGAAGTCTCGCGTGACGGTCAATGCTTGCTCGATCCTTACGTGAAAATTCAGCTTCTATCCGATCAAGAGCACCGCGTAAAAACCAGGTGATGGGCCTTACAGGCTGACTTGAAGGCCAATGGCTTGGATTTGAGCCTTACAAGCTGACTTGGAGTCCAATGGCTTGGATTTGGGCGTTACAAACTGACTTGAAGGCCAATGGCTTGGATTTGAGCCTTACAAGCTGACTTGGAGTCCAAGGGCTTGGATTTGGGCGTTACAAACTGACTTGAAGGCCAATGGCTTGGATTTGAGCCTTACAAGCTGACTTGAAGGCCAATGGCTTGGATTTGAGCGTTACAAACTGACTTGAAGGGAAATGGCTTGGATTTGAGCGTCACAAGCTGACTTGAAGGCCAATGGCTTGGATTTGAGCCTTACAAACTGACTTGTAACCTAATCCCGTCTCTTTTCATTACGCATTCAAAGGTCTGCAAAAGCCAAAGCCTTTTCTCACGCTTTTCTTCGGACAAAGAGTTAGCGATGAGTTTTTGGCTTGAGCTTAGGCTTAACTTCATTGATTTTTGCTTTAAATTCGACATTCTGTTAAACCATTGTGTTTGCTTAAGCAGCAGATAAATTGAGAAAGTAAAGAGGCGTAAAAATGATTAAAACTTAAAACTCTAAACTCTAAACTCTAAACTTGCAATTCTTGGTGAAAAATCGATAATTTCATTTGTTTTTTTTCATAAATCATTACAATTTATTCTAATAAACCCGTAAGAAAAAGGAAAATTGAAAGAAAAAGAAAAGAAACAAAAGAAACAAAAGAAACAAAAGGATTTGAAGAATTTGTAGAGTTTTTAGATGCTTTTAGATGCTTTTAGATGCTTTTTAGATGCTTTTTAGATCCTTTTAGATCCTTTTAGATCCTTTTAGATCCTTTTAGATCCTTCTTTAGATCCTGATTCTCTTCTCATCAACAAAGAACATTCGGCGGACAAGATAAACCTAAAAGTTTTTCGTTTATCATTGCATTATTTCATTGTACTGTACTGTATATTACCCTAACCCAGAAATCTCTTCTAGACACAGCTATCAGTCCAGCTAGCCGTCCAGCTAACAGCTAACAGCCAGCAGTCCAGCTAATAGTCCCGCTAACAGCCAACAGTCCAGCTAACAGCCCAGCTAACAGTCCAGCTAATAGTCCAGCTAACAGTCCAGCTAACACTCCAGCTAACACTCCAGCTATGACATCACTCTCACTTGTTTATTAATCAGTTAGCTCTATTTAGGGTGAGCAAAAATGATTTCTATCTTATTTTTGAATCGAAACTCGATTTATTTCTGTTAGTGAACTGATTTGCGGATGAATTTATCTAAAAAATTCTTTTTCCTTGTTGTTCCGAATGCTTTTTTTGCTTTTTTTGTTTTGTTTCATTTGATCTTCTTTTTCATTTGATTAATTTATGTTTTTGCTAAAAGTATTTGAATTTTTTCGATACGTTCATGAGAATCGACGCCTGTACCCCTACAGCCTGTACCCCTACAGCCTGTACCCCACTGGACTGTTAGCTGGACTGATAGCTGTTGGCTGGACCTTTCTTCCCCCCCCCCCCCCCCCCCCCCCCCCCCCCCCCCCCCCCCCCCCCCCCCCCCCCCCCCCCCCCCCCCCCCCCCCCCCCCCCCCCCCCCCCCCCCCCCCCCCCCCCCCCCCCCCCCCCCCCCCCCCCCCCCCCCCCCCCCCCCCCCCCCCCCCCCCCCCCCCCCCCCCCCCCCCCCCCCCCCCCCCCCCCCCCCCTCCCCTCCCCCCCTCCCCCCCCCTTCTCCCCCTTTCTTCCCCCTTTCTTCCCCCTTTCTTCCCCCTTTCTTCCCCCTTTCTTCCCTCCAAACCTGTAGCAAAGCGATGATGACCGAAATTGAAATGAAAGTCACCGAGAAATTCTTGATATTGTCGGAATTGCTGAAATTTCTTTTCAAAAGCCCTTTCGATCAAAAAACTCACCTTTGTTGCATCTCTTCATCTCTTTGCGTAATACTGTTGTAGTATTTTATCGAGTATTTGATTTTGTACAAATTTTGCACCAGATTTTGCACGATACTCTGGAAAAAAAACGATTTCTTGTGATTAGCAACTTTGAGCTCAAATTTCTCGGTGTTGGGCTATTCAATTTAGATGTTCTTGGTATCATTAGATGCGCAAAGACTTTCTCTATCGATTGGTAGAAAAATGATTGAAATTGGACAGCTCAACGAAGAGAAATTTGAGTTTAAAGTTCGATCCCCAATGGGAAAGGGGGCGGGGCTTTGAGTTCAATTATCTCAGCATTGAGCCGTCCGATTTGAATCATTTTTTTACCAATCAATAGAGAAAGACTTGGCGCATCTAATGATACCAAGAACATTTAAATTGAATAGCCCAACACTGAGAAATTTGAGCTCAAAGTTGAAAATAATAAAGGAGGCGAGGCGCTGATCAATGTTACTGTAGATCGATTACTGTAGATCTTGTGGCTTACTGTAGAAGGATCTAGTGTACTGTAGAGCCTGTAGAAGTGACTACGAACGGAGACTACTGTAGCTTACCGTAGAAAGAAGACAGTAAACGAAATTAGACAGACAAACAGACAGAGTATGACAGAAGAAAACAGAACCGAGAGATCTAAGCGTAGACCGATTACGAACAGACAGACACTTGCCTTTTATATATAGTAGATTACGAACTGATTACTGTAGAAGGATCTAGTGTACTGTAGAGCCTGTAGAAGTGATTACGAACGGATCTAAGCGTACTGTAGCTTGTAGAACAGGCTGTAGACAGACGGACAGATGGACAGATGGATGGACAGATGGACAGACAGATGGACAGATGGATAGACAGACAGACGGAGAGACAGACAGATAGACAGACAGACACACAGACAGACAGACGGACAGACAGACAGACAGACAGATAGACAGACAGACAGACAGATAGATGGACAGATGGACAGATGGACAGGCAGACAGGCAGACAGACAGACAGATAGACAGGCAGGCAGACAGACGGGCAGACGGACGGATAGACGGACAGACAGACAGACGGACAGATAGACAGACAGACGGAGAGACAGACAGACAGATAGACGGACAGACATACGGACAGACAGCCAGATGGACAGACAGATAGACAGATAGACAGACAGAGAGACAGACAAACATACAGACAGACAGACAGGCTTAAAAATTAGCATTCAACTTTGAAAGCCTCTCTTTCCCCACTCTTTTCCCCACCCACTTGAACATTTTTCGATAGCTCGTGCTCTTCCAACCATTTCGCTAGTGCTGCCTCGATAGCTTCCGGGTCATAGAAATAGAGGTGCAGGTTGACTCGACACGGGTTTCGCGTATGTATGCAAATCTCGTGATCTCCTGCAAGTACTTTGTGCTTTTTAGCGGTTTGTAGGCAAGTGCTTTGCAAGCAACTACTTTCTAGTAAGCACACCGTTTCTAGAGCACTGAATGCTTGAATTTCCGCGGTCAGGCGCCACTGAATGATCAAAACTGTGGCCGAGAATAAGCTAAAAGCAAAATGAATGAAAAAAAACCGGTGGCGGATTCGAACCCGCCGCTAGACAAGGCCTTGGCTTTGTAGCCAATCACACTAACCACTAGGCCACAGCTGCTGTTTGTCGCTGAGCGTTTAAAGCGGTCTTATTGTCTAGGGACGATTTTGAGCCTTAATTTAGATTATTCCTTTATAAGAAAGTTTGAAAATGAGAAAATGAAAGAAAAAGGACCTCAGTGCGCTAGAAAAGATGTGTTTCTATTTAACACAAAGAACAGAAAGGTGTAATCACCAGTTTCCGTGACATTGTAATAAGCGCCAACCAATCCGTCTCCATTCTGCCAATCGGAGAGCTCACCGGACGGAGAAGAGAAACGAAGTTGGAGGTGATAAGTCTCCGATCGATAAGTCTACAGAAATCTATCCGATTTCGTTGTCAGCTCTCAATTCTTACCCTTAAATTCAGCTTTATATTCATCCCTTTCTCCAGCGGCTCCCAAAAGCACGTCATTCTGCTGTCCAAATCGAAAGTCACATAGCGAGAGACCTAGAATCTCTAGAATGTCTAGAATCTCTAGAATCTCTAGAACTCTAGAGCCTCTAGAATCTCTAGAACCTCTAGAATCTCTAGAATCTCTAGAACCTCTAGAACTCTAGAATGTCTAGAACTCTAGAACCTCTAGAACTCTAGAACCTCTAGAACCTCTAGAGCTCAAGAACCTCTAGAACTCTAGAACTCTGGAACCTCTAGAACCTCTAGAATCTCTAGAACCTCTAGAACTCTAGAACTCTTGAATCTCTAGAACCTCTAGAACTCTAGTATCTCTAGAACCTCTAGAACCTCTAGAACCTCTAGAACTCTGGAACTCTAGAACCTCTAGAATCTCTAGAATTCTAGTATCTCTAGAACTCTAGAACTCTAGAACCTCTAGAATCTCTAGAATCTCTAGAATCTTTAGAACTCTAGAACCTCTAGAACCTCTAGAACCTCTAGAACCTCTAGAATCTCTAGAACCTCTAGAACTCTAGAATCTTTAGAACTCTAGAATCTCTAGAACTCTAGAACTCTAGAACTCTAGAATCTCTAGAATCTTCAAAATCTCGAATATCTCTCCTTTTCTCCTCCCCTCTCCTCCCCAATAAACCTAAAACTTCTTTAGAAAACCTTAGAATAAATTTTAGTGATAGTATTAGAAGTAAAAAATGAAAAAGGAGGAGACTAGGGCTGCTAGCGGAGTCGAACCATCGACCTATAGACGGCCGTGCAAAATTGGCTACTATTTAAAAGCTAGAGGCTTCCTTTTAATCGAAAAAACGTTTCCCCTCTTTTACCCTAATAAAACCCACTTGATTTTCGCCGTTTTTGAAACGAGTTGTCGCATGGGTTGATCCAAAAGAAAGGATGAGAAAGAAGAGAGGAAGCAACAACATATTTAGCTGCTAGAAAATCAGCTAGGCAATCAGCTAGACAATCAGCTAGACAATCAGCTAGGAAATCAGCTAGAAAATCAGCTAGGCAATCGCTAGATAATCGCTAGAATCAGCTAGACAATCAGAAACCGATCCTTTCACAAAAATCGATAGCAATCGTTGGCAAAAAGTGAGGTACAGAGGCGGGCACGCTTATCGCCTTTTTTCCGGCAAAATGAAAACGTTTCAAAGCCAATCGCCAACTCAAAAATGTACTTTCTGATAGATTTTTTTGCTGAAACATTTAAACAAAACCTTTCTGGTGCAAATAAAATAAAGAATTTGAATTCAGGGATTCAGGAATTCAAATTTGACTTCAGGAATCCAAATTTGACTTCAGGGATCCAAATTTGACTTCAGCAATCCAAATTTGACTTCAGAAATCCAAATTTGACTTCAGGAATTCAAATTTGACTTCAGAAATCCAAATTTGACTTCAGGAATCCAAATTTGACTTCAGAAATCCAAATTTGACTTCAGGAATTCAAATTTGACTTCAGAAATCCAAATTTGACTTCAGGAATTCAAATTTGACTTCAGAAATCCAAATTTGACTTCAGGAATTCAAATTTGACTTCAGGAATCCAAATTTGACTTCAGCAATCCAAATTTGACTTCAGAAATCCAAATTTGACTTCAGGAATCCAAATTTGACTTTAGGAATTCAAATCTGAATTCAGGAATCCAAATTTGACTTCAGCGATCCAAATTTGAATTCAGCAATCCAAATTTGACTTCAGGAATCCAAATTTGACTTCAGAAATCCAAATTTGACTTCAGGAATTCAAATTTGACTTCAGGAATTCAAATCTGAATTCAGGAATCCAAATTTGAATTCAGCAATCCAAATTCCTTTATTTTCTCGCTTTTTTTCCAAGAAAAACAATGAATTCAGTGCTCTAGAAAAGCTGTGTTTAGTTTTAGCTATGTTTAAGTGCTAGCTATTCCCTCAGACAGTGTTAATTATTGACTGAGAAGCTATTAAATGTTTAACAAGAAACACAAACAACGAATCGAATAGAAACTAAATGAATCGGAACTCAAAGAACACGAAAAAGAAAACGGATTCAAAACAAGAGAAAGAACGGATTGAATTCTTGCTGCTAGACATTCTTGCTCGCTCCTTTAGCTTGCTGAATCTTGCTGCTTGCTGAAAGCTGAAGCTTGCCACAGAAGCACTTACTCATTGAATAGTTGATGTTGAAACTAATAGTTGATGTTGATGAATAGTAACTGAATAGTTGATGTTGAAAAAGAGAAGGCTTAAAGGAAAGGCTTAAAGGAGAAGGCTTAAAGGAAAGGCTTAAAGGAGAAGGCTTAAAAGCTAAGGCTTAGAAGCTAAGGCTTAAATGAGAAGGCTTAAAAGAGAAGGCTTAAATGAGAAGGCTTAAATCAGAAGGCTTAAAAGAGAAGGCTTAAGAGCTAAGGCTTAAAGCTAAGGCTTAAAGCTAAGGCTTAAAGCTAAGGCTTAAAAGTCAGGCTTAAAAGAAAGACTTAAAAGAACAGCCTCAAAACTTTTACCAGTTTAACTCAGCTAACTTTAACATCATTGAAATGAGCATAAAAATCTGCGATCTAAATATCTAAAGACTTCAATGATCCTTCTTTTGCTCAAAGTCTAAGCAAACAATTTCTAAAATAGACTTCAAAGTTAAGAGTGCAATCATTCTTCCTTCATCTCATAATTGAGAGAAGGAAGAACACTGAATGAATCTTCTCTCTCAACTCAAAGTTCAGAATCGTCTGGAATCCCAATGGCGAATAGGCCTCAAAGGGCCTAAAATAAAAAGGCCTCAAAAACAAACCACTAATAGCAAGTGGGTGGAATTGAACTTGAGAAATCGGACAGTGTAAGCCTTTATCCTGATCTAGCCTAAGCAGAAGACTAGGCTAGCCTAAGCAGAAGACTAGACTAGTCTAAAAAGAAGACTAGACTAGTCTAAGCTAAGAAGACTAGACTAGACTAAACAGAAGACTAGACTAGTCTAAGAAGAAGACTAGCCTAGTCTAAGCTTAGTCTAAGCCTAGTCTAAGCCTATCCTTAGCTTAGTCTAAGCCAGGATCTCTTCTCTCTTCCCAAGAGAAGCCTTATAAAGGAATCAGTTTTGAATCCCGATTTTCCTAGATTCCTTGTATTTCCTTGGCTATTAGCTGTTGATTTTTACGGCGTTTAGTTTTTTACGGCGTTTTCCCATCCCCATTCCCTTTTGCCGTTCCCATTCCCATTCCCATTCCCATTCCCTTGCCATTCCCATTCCCTTTTCATTCCCATTCCCATTCCCATTCCCATTCCCATTCCATTCCCATTCCCATTCCCATTCCCATTCCATTCCCATTCCCATTCCATTCCCATTCCCATTCCCATTCCCATTCCCATTCCATTCCCATTCCCATTCCCATTCCCATTCCAAACAATTCCCAACTTTAACCTAGACAATTCCATTGTTAGAAGCTTTTAGAGAGCTTTTAGAAGTTTCTTTTTCGTTTAAATCAAATAAAACTTTCATTAGTTTTAAATAGATTATATTTTAAATCAAAAAAAGAAGTAACTACCGTAAATACCCTCGTACCCTCGTACAGTCGCGTAGTCGCAAAAGTCTTTTAGTATTTTTTAGTTCTTAGTATTTTTCAAAGCGCTCGTACTTTCAAAAAATGCGTATTTGGTATCAAAAAATAGCTGAAATTCAGGGCTATTTTTTGATACCAAAATGAACATTTAAGCATAAACCAGTGTCGAGAAAAACGCCTCCAAAGCTAGAGCCACGCGACGCTCGGCACCGTGTCGAAAAAAGGAAAAACTCGTTCAAATGCTAGACTACGCAACACTCCGCGGCGTCATTATGGGGCTGGGGGACTATTCAGTATTTACGGTAGGTGCTTGAAAAAGCTTCCAAATTACTAGAAACTAGAAATCAGAAAAGAAATCGCAATTACTTTTCAATTGCTGATTTCCAACCTTTTCTGAGAGTGATTTTTAAGTTCTTTTAAGACTTAGAAATTGTTTAAGACTTAGAAATTGTATAAATTATCAAAGAAAATCATTTCCAATAGATTTTTCTTGAAAAAACAAAAATATCAGCTCACGACGGGACTCGAACCCGCAATCGTCTGATTAGAAGTCAGACGCCTTATCCATTAGGCCACGCGAGCTATGGATGAGGGAGGAGGGGAAGGGTATATGAGTTTAAGGCAACGGCAAAACTGATTTCCTTTCTTTTGTCAATTTACCTCTCTTTTTACTCCAATATATTCAATTATTTGATTTTAAAATCCTCCGAAATGTTTAACAATTCAAAAACCAAACTCAGCACAAAAGGAAATCGATTTTGAAAGGTGAAGCTAGAGTGGCAAACAGCCAGGCAAATGCTTAGCGATATAGGCGGAAAATGGATTTCTCAAATCAACCCATAAACGATCAGCAATCCTAACCAAAACAACAACATTGCTTTTTATCTAGTTATCTAGAAAACAAAGCCAGTCAGACGCCTTATTTATTAGGCTAGGCGAGCTACGAGTGAGGGTAGACGGCGAGGATTAATTGTGACAATTGTGACAAGATAATCGATTCGTTCGAACAGATTCGTTACTTTCTTAGCATAATCTTTAATCAAACCGGCATCTATGAAAGGTTTAAAAGCAGGAATACGAGCAGAAAATACGTACATTAACTAGAAAAAGGCACCAAAGGCAAAAAAAGCACTTTTTTAACCTTTTTTAACCTTTTTTAACCCTTTTTAACGAAAGCTTTTATAAAATCGTCTATGCTGGTTTGGCTTTTACTTTTTTAAGGAAGCTCTTTAACGCGAAATATCTGTTTAAGCTGATTTAAGATGAAGCTGATAGAGTCTAAACTTTTTCTATAAGTAGAATGAGCTCTAAGAGAGCTAAGGCTAAGCTCTAAGGCTCAGCGGATAGCTTGTTAGCTTACAGAATGAAGTGTTTGAAAGAATCTTTTAGTTACTATTGTTTTATCTTTATTTACAGTAGTACGAAAAGAGGAATAGATTATAAATGAGTGAAAGGGGAGACTCCAAGCCTCGCTTGTCCTCCTAGGCTCCTCACTGTCCTCCTAGGCTCCTCCTAGCCTCCTCACTTGTCCTCCTAGGCTTCTAGGCTCCTCCTAGGCTCCTCACTGTCGACCTGGGCTCCTAGGCTCCTCCTAGCCTCCTCACTTGTCCTCCTAGGCTTCTAGGCTCCTCCTATCCTCCTCCTCACTTGTCCTCACTTGTCCTCCTAGGCTCCTCACTGTCCTCCTAGGCTCCTAGGCTCCTCCTAGCCTCCTCAATGTCCTCCTAGCCTCCTCAATGTCCTCCTAGGCTCCTCACTTGTCCTCCTAGGCTCCTCACTTGTCCTCCTAGGCTACTGGCTTAAAGCCATATACCCTTCCCCTCCTCCCCCATCCATAGCTCGCGTGGCCTAATGGATAAGGCGTCTGACTTCTAATCAGACGATTGCGGGTTCGAGTCCCGTCGTGAGCTGATGTTTTTTGTTTTTTCGAGAAAAGTTGAGGAATCTTTTGGAAAGGATTTTCCTTTCATAATTTATAATTTATACAATTTCGATTGATGGAAATCCTTTCCAATAGATTTTTAGAAGGGTATATTGGTTTAAACCTTAAGCTTTAAGCCAAAAGATTTTCCTTGAAAAAACAAAAATGACAGCTCACGACGGGACTCGAACCCGCAATCGTCTGATTAGAAGTCAGACGCCTTATCCATTAGGCCACGCGAGCTATGGATGAGGGAGGAGGGGAAGGGTATATCCCTTTAAGCCAAAGGCAAAACTGACTGGTGTTCCTTTTTCGAGATTCCCTCTGATTTCAGCCATGGATCTGAATTCACTGACATGAGATAAGCTACAGTTTGTACTGTGGACAAAAGCAATTTACCGTATAGTATATAATTTCTCTAATAGTAGTGCAGAGCCGAGGACAAGATCCAGATCGACTTTCGCCATGACGA